GTAAGACTAGCACAAAATTGAATGTTTTGGAATTAGTCTCATTCCAAAAAAATAACACTAATGAATCAGGAGTATAACAACCAAGAAATCCATAACTATGGCTTAATCACTTGGAATGTCATAATTCTTAGAGGAGCAAGAGAATGACAGTACACACCATTTTATTTGAAATTTTAAAAAACTAGTGTGAATCAGAGATCTTGATGGAGTATTATCAGAAGAATTTCAGAAACTGCAAGTTGTTACACAGATGTATTGATTTAATTAGTCTAGATAACACCATTTATTTATGCTTAAGCATCTCACACATACAAAAGTTGGTAATTCGAAGTCACACAATAATTTGTGAGTTATCTTCTGTACCACGTGTTGTAGCTTCTGAATACCAGCTTTGACAAGTGTGTGTGTCAGATACTTAAGCATAAATAAATGATATTATATAGAACAAGTAAGCAATAGAGTTTGCTTTAGGAATTCTGTTGACATAATTTATATATATATATATATATATATATATATATATATATATATATATATATAAAGCATAAGCAACTGTTACAACCGGCATGACCTGTCAACCAGTTACTATGACGTGCACTGACCACCAGGGGGCAGATGCTCAACGCAGGAGCTGCCCCTGGTGGTCAGTGTGTTACCGCTAGCGGAGCAGTGGCACCCAGCCCCAGTTCTGGCTTTGCCTGGCCACCTGCGCTTAGCACAATGCTACATCCCTTGAACCCTAAAAGTCAAAGAGAGATGGATCTGAAGGGTGGGGGCATGGGCAACAGAGTACCCCGCCCACCAAGATCCCTAACTTAGTATTGTTCACCTCTGGAGCATCTCTTATCCTGCTCCAAGCAGCTGAAAGCATCCAGCATGGCCCAAGGCATCCACCAGGGACCTTTGGAAATCTACAAAAGACATTTGGAAATATTTTTTCAAGAAGCTGTGGGGAGGAAGACAAACTCCCCAAGCAGCTCACAGGGATGTGGAAACTCCCCGAGCGTGGGCTCCCAATTTCCTTTCAATGTGCACGAATCCATGCACCGGGCCAGTAGTTTCATATAAAATCTTTTGGTGGTGACTTTTTAAATGACATTGTCTTAAACACAGTGTAATCCCCCCCCCCTTTTTTTTTTAAATATATTTTATTGATTTTTTACATAGAGGAAGAGAGAGGGATAGATAGAAACATCTAAGAGCAAGAATCATCGATCAGCTGCCTCTTGCACACCCCCTACTGGGGATGTGCCCACAACCAAGGTACATGCCCTTGACCGGAATTGAACCCGGGACCTTTCAGTCCGCAGGCCGACGCTCTATCCATTGAGCCAAACCGGTTTCGGCGAACACAGTGTAATCTAATAATAGTATGGGCAAGATCCTCATTGGAGACAGAACATATCTGGGTTCTGCTAGTTAGGTCTCTTTAGATATCTGGGTGGATTCTTTTTTATTATTATTTTTATTTTTTACAGAGAGGGAGAGGGATAGAGAGTTAGAATCATCGATCAGCTGCCTCTTGCACACTCCCTACTGGGGATGTGCCCGCAATCAAGGTACATGCCCTTGACCGGAATCGAACCTGGGACCTTTTAGTTCGCAGACTGATGCTCTATCCACTGAGCCAAACCGGTTTCGGTTCTGGGTGGATTCTTAACATGCCATTGCATCTTGATAAAATTATTTTGGTTAAACATACAATGGATGTTCTAGCTGGTGAATGAAGAAGAGAAGTTATCCTTATAGCAAAAAAAGATGAATTTATTTTGTGATAGTTATTTGGGAATGTATTATTAAATCTTTTGGGAAGAGAAACCTGTTAGAATAATTTCTCTCTCTCTCTCTCTCTCTCTCTCTCTCTCTCTCTCTCTCTCTCTCTCTCTCTCTCTCTCTCCCCCCCCCCCTCTTTCTCTCTCCCTCTCTCCCTCTGTCTCTTTATCTCTGTGTCTCTCTTCTCCCTCTCTTTCTTCCTCTCTGTCTCTTCCTCACCCTTCCTTCTCTCCTTTGCTATTCTAATTTTACCTACAAGAATACCAAGATAGCCGAAACCGGTTTGGCTCAATGGATAGAGCGTCGGCTTGGGGACTGAAGGGTCCCGGGTTCGATTCCGGTCAAGGGCATGTACCTTGGTTGTGGGCATATCCCCAGTAGGGGGTGTGCAAGAGTCAGCTGATCGATGACACTCTCTCATCGATGTTTCTAACTATCTCTCCCTTCCTCTCTGTACAAAATCAATAAAATATATATATTTTTAAAAACAAAGAATACCAAGATATTTTGCCTCATTTTGTAGTACTGTTTTCACACTTTAAAAATGCTATTAATTATACTGTACATATTTTTTTATCTTTAATTTGCTGTTGTTTTAAAGTGGTAAGCTGTCAAAAGGAAATAGCTAATATACTAGGAATTTAGGTAGCATCTTTTCTTCCAAAGTTTGGGATACTTCATTTCTATTATTTTTTTCTCACCATACTCCCTAGAAGATAGAAAGGGGAAAGATTAATTAACCTAGTTTTACACATAAGGAAACAGAAGCTTATAGAGGGTAAGTGTCTTACGCCTAAGGTCATATGTACTCAAAACATAGTCACAGAATGCAGTAGAGAATTCCAGAGCTTGGCAGAGTGTAGCACACTACCCACTGGGAAATGTATAAGCAGGTAATTTATTTTCTCAGAAGACTTGATTACTGCTGGTCAATTCTAACTCCTTGGAGATTATCAGCCATCTTTTTTTTTTCTTTTTTTTTTTTAATATATTTTATTGATTTTTTACAGAGAGGAAGGGAAAGGGATAGTTAGAAACGTCAATGAGAGAGAATCATTGACCAGCTGCCTCCTGCACACCCCCCACTGGGGATGTGTCTGCAACCAATGTACATGCCCTTGACCGGAATCGAACCTGGGACTCCTCAGTCCGCAGACCGACGCTCTATCCACTGAGCCAAACCGGTTTCGGCTTATCAGCCATCTTATCCTCAAGGCAGAAACTTGTTTGCAAGTTAGATCTATTCTATACTCTGGGGAAATGTTACTTAGCACAACTGGCTTGGAATTTCAAGTAAAATAATATATTTTCATGTGTTCTAACGTGTTTCTTCAGGGTGACAAGTACCCATGTTAACCAGAGTTCAAAGAATATAAGATGTCACTTTTATGACCATTAGCTGCTATTACTTTACTAGAGGCCCAGTGCACAAAATTTGTGCATGAATAGGGTCCCTAGGCCCGGCTGGCAATCAGGGCCGATCTGTGGGGCAACCGGCGGGACGATTGGGGGGGCCCCCACTGGCACCTGCCTTGGCCGGCCTGGTGCTGCCCATTCGCAGGCCCCACCCCCCAATTGCCATGCCATTGCTGGCACCCACCTTGGCTGGCCTGTGGGCTTGGGGGCAGCTCCTGTGTTGTCTTCCTCCTGGTGCTCAGTGCGCATCATAGCTACCATTCAGTCAATTTGCATATTAGCTTTTATTATATAGAATGCTGTATGATAGCAGGGCATAAAGGTATTCAATTTCATTTAATGTGCTCTTAATTGAATATATAAGTTTAAGGATGAGCACATAATCTTGGGCAAGGCCTGTTCACTGAGGCAAATGCAAGAGGGAAAACACATTTTGCAGAGAAAAAGGAAGCTATGTAAGATAAGAGTCATGCTGCTGATGCCTGGGAGTATAGGCAGATAAATCAATAAACATTTATTGATTTTATTTTGAGAAAGATTGACTTTGTTGTTCCACTCATCTATGCATTCATTGGTTGATTCTTGTATGTGCCCTAACTGGGGATTGAACCCGAAACCTTGGCCTATTGGGATGATGCTCTAACCCAGTGGAAAATGAATTTAACATGGAAAATGGCCCAGCTGGTGTAGAAAAGAAATAACCCACTTGGCCATGAAGAACAAAGCAGACTTAGTCAAGGTTCTCTATAGGAACTTGCATTCTTAGACTTGCAGGTAAAACAAAGAAAGATACCTAAAAAACAAACAAACAAAAACAGAAAGGAAATCTATAAATCCAAGTTACTACTTTTTATTTGTCTCATTGATAAAAATTACTTCTCTTATCTTAGGGGAATGTTATTATATTAGAAAAACATTAGCATTTCACCTAAATCTACAGTTCTATGTTTTTTTAAATTATGATTCATATACTTTCATTATTATTGTCTGCATTAAAAGTTTAGTAATTTGCTCTAACTGGTTTGGCTCAGTGGATAGAGCTTTGGCTGCAGACTCCAGGGCCCCATGTTCGATTCTGGTCAAGGGCATGTACCTTGGTTGCGGGCACATACCCACCTGATCAATGTTTCTCTCTCATCGATGTTTCTTACTCTCTATCCTTCTCCCTTTCTCTCTGTAAAAAATTAATAAAATATATTTTTTAAAAAAAGTTTAGTGATTTAACCTAAACATTTGAGACCTACTATCCTTCCCCCCTCCCAATAATTGTTTCTAATAGAGGGGCATACCGTTAACCACTTAAGATTTTGGTTCAGGTGCTCGGCCTGAGCCTGTTTATTTTATTTATTTATTTTTTACATTTTTTTTTATTAAATTATTATCTGTGTACATATTTTAACATTCCCCCCCCCATTTTATTTTTTATCTATTTATTTTTTTGAGCCTGTTTATTTAGGATGATATGGTTTGACACTCTCAGAATTGTGTTTGTTGGTTTGACCCATTAGGAGAGACACGAGCTCACCCATGTTTTGCCTTTGAAATGCTTTTGTAACAGGTTCTGGTCCATAAGCTTTAAGAAAGCAGCTTTTTTATATACCTGAAAGTGCTCCAAGTGTTCTTCTGTTAAAGAAGACAAGTGGACCTTTCTTAAACTCTTACATTTTTTGTCCTTTAGGGTTCTCTAAATGTTACGATTTACTTAGTTGCTATTTTTTTATTCATCAAGACTTAGAATGTTCCCATTTGTCATAGGAAGCGATGTTGGTGTTACTCCTTTACGATCACTTTGCCATGTCTTTCTTTTGCAGTCCCCATATCATGTCAACCTCCTCCTGGCTGGCTACGATGAGCATGAGGGTCCAGCACTCTACTACATGGACTACCTGGCAGCCTTGGCCAAGGCCCCTTTTGCAGCCCATGGCTATGGTGCCTTCCTGACTCTCAGTATCCTGGACCGATACTACACACCAAGTAAGTTCCAGCAATCTAGGTAAGGAAACATAACAGAGCTCTGTCCTCAGCTGCTTCCTGATTTTGTGCATTACCCCATGGAGTTGGGTGGCCAGAGCTTAAATATTAGAGAAATCCTAAGAAGTAAATTCAGGTGCCCTCTTGAAGCTGCTTTCTCCTGCGGGTCAGTACAGTTATTGAAAAGCTGATAGAAGTCCTTCTTGAGCTTTCGAGGATGAACAAGTTCCCCAGCATGACAGCTGAGGGATTCTTTGTTTAACTGTCAGAGCTTTTGAAGGTCATAAGTCTAGGCCCTTCCCTTGGTTCTTATCACTTAACTAGTGACCCGCTGCACAAAATCTGTGCACATTAAAAGGGAATTAGAGGCAATATTTTAATATTGCTATTTGCCCTTTCTCTATAATAGAAGTATCATTGATAAAAGAAAATTAGTGCCGGGACCGGTTTGGCTCAATGGATAGAGCGTCGGCTTGGGGACTGAAGGGTCCTGGGTTCGATTCCGGTCAAGGGCATGTACCTTGGTTGCGGGCATATCCCCAGTAGGGGGTGTGCAAGAGGCAGCTGATCAATGACTCTCTCTCATCGATGTTTCTAACTCTGTATCTCTCTCCCTTCCTCTCTGTAAAAAATCAATAAAATATATTTTTTTTTAAAAATTGGTAAAATGTATATAAAAATCTTCCCCCTGTCAGATTCAGGGGAGCACCACAGTAACCAGAGTCAAGTCTCCACCCACCCACGTGTGCCTCGAAATTGCACCAGACCTAGCTGGCCCCACCCCCATCAAACCCTGTTGGGTGGGGGTTGCGGCCTCAGGCCGCCTGGCCCAGCACCAGAGCGGGGGACACAGCCTCAGGTCCCCCGGGCTGGGGGGACTCACCTTGAGGTCCCCTGGCCCAGGCCAGGGAGTGCAGCCTGAGGTCTCCTATCAAACCCTGCAGTCAGGGGTGCATAGCCTTAGGTCCCCTGGCCTGGTGCTGGGGTGGAGTGTGCTGTCTGAGGTCCCCCTGCCCTGCACTGGGGCAGGGGCATAGCCTCTGGTCCCCCTGCCAGGTTCCAGGGTGGGGAATGCAGCCTCAAGTTCTCTGGCCCCGTGCCTGGACGGGGGGCATGGCCTCAGGTCCCCTGGCCTGGTGCTGGAGTAGGGGGTGGGGCCTGAGACCTCCCCATCAGCCCTGCTGGGTGGGAGGTGAGGCCTGAGGTCCCCCAGCCTGGCATGAGGCAGGAGTCGAAACCTCAGGTCTCTGCTGATTGCTCGTTAAGGCTCATTATGGGAACTTGGCCTCTGCTGTGGGTGCAGCCAGCCATCTTGTTATGATGTGATGGTCAATTTGCATATTCCCTCTTTATTAGATAGGATGGCTGCCCCCTATCTAGATAAAAATAAAGCTGGCTCTCTACTTATCAATAAATTGTCAACTTAGCAAAGCCTCTGACATAGAGATGCTTTTGTGCTAAGTTCTAACTTCTGACTCCAATTCCAACTTTGACTTGAGCCACTGTGAGCATTAGACCTTTGGGAATCTTAGCTTTTACAGGCTATAGATGCAGTATAGATAACCACCTCTCTCCTTACATTCTGTTCTTCCCTTATTCAATCCTTCATTCCATTTTGGTGCTGCCACTTCACTCAACCTCAGCCTTGCCAGAGCTCACATCCTGAAAAGAATGAGCCTGGCCTCCTGGTGACTGTTTCTTGATTTGGCAGCTGTCAGTAATACAGCTGATTTGCCCACCAATATAACCACCATCCACTCTGAAGCCTAACTGCATAATATGTCATCCCAGTTTGACATGCCCATGGATAGTTCCTTTGGCTCCTATTTTATGAAAGTCTCAGCCCCATCCTATGAATTCTCTTTCCATTGTTAAACTGAGAGCCAGCTGGGAAAGTGAGGCTGAAACTCTGGCCCTGTCCTTTTCCTGATTTGCAGCTGGCTAGGACAGATGGAACTGGTTTAAGCCCTGGTCTAAAGAGGGTGTGGGAGTGAGGTGGGGGGTGGGGGATGGGAAGGGGACTATAAGAAAGAGGCAGACTGCTGGACTTCTCTAGAGGCAGGCCCCAGCCATGGGAGGCAGAATTCCGTCATGCTTACCCTTCTTTATAGCAAATCAATTTGCAATGGCTTGTGGCTGCCAGAGCATTGGGTCTGGGGCACCCTCAACTGCATATGGAATAAGTTTGTTGCAAGCTAGAAGGCTAGGCATTTTCCCCCTTTTCCGTTTGTGTGACATGCTGACCTGAGGAAGTTTGAAACTTAATCAAAAGTTAATGGTAGTACCTTGAGTGCTTGGCCTCTCTATTCTCTTTCAGATCTCTCACGTGAGCGGGCATTGGAGCTTCTCAGGAAATGTCTAGAGGAGGTGAGTAGCTCCCGTGGGATTCTGAAAGGACTGAAAAGAATGCTTTGTCTCTCTGCCAGTGCTCCCATTCCTCCATTACATTTTTTCTGGTCCTTGCCAGAAGGTGTAATAAATACCTACTAACCAGATGTGAAGTTGCTGCCAGGGATAGGGTTTGGTTAAGCTTATGTTTTCCTCTCATGGGGTCATCTCCTCATCGATGTCAATGTTTTACAATTTAATTACTTTTCTTTTTAGTTCATTCAGACCAGTGGTTTTCAAATTTTAGCATTATAATAATGATCTGAGGAACTTGTTTCTAAAAAAATCAAATAGATTCAGCCTCCCAGCCCCTTCTGATACGGTTGTCCTGGTGTAGAGCCTGAGAGTAGTTTAACTAGCAGGCCCAGTGATTTTGCTGCAGGTGGTAACTGGGCCATTATTGGAACAACTGCTGCCCTTTATACCTGCTTTATTCTTGTTCCATCTGGAGTTGCTAGTGTCTGCTCTTCTTAACAGGGCATGAGTCCTGGAGAGGAAGCCTCTCCAAAGGCCATCGAAAACGACTAGAAAGCTTTGGGCAGAGGAGAGTAGCCTTTACTTTATGAGGCCTCAGACCCCACCAGTCTAGTACTACTCCTAAGAGAGAAGCTTTGGGTGTGTGTGAGGATGAGAAGGAAAAGAAAGCAGCTCCCTTATGCTTTTTCATTCTCTTTCTGTTCTCGTGACCTAAGGATTAACTTGAATTCGTAGTCTAGTGAGAGAGTGGGAGGATGAGAGCAAAGGGGGGTGGGGGAGGTTGCTTTGAACATAATGCCAGTTTGCCTCTTACACAAGCCTGTCATTTTCAGCCCAAAGCCCCTTCTTCCTCTTGTTTGTGAATCCCCTTTCCAAAGCCGATGCTGAGAATAAACTCATGTAATTTTCTTAACCATTCAGCTGAGAGATCATATTAGCCCCAGTGTTCAAGGAGCTGCCAGGAAGAAGCCACTGAAATATTAAATGCTTTGAGACTTTATTCCTCATAAATCCTAAGGTGATCATATTAGAAACCCACATTTCCTTATTGTTACCTTTTCTTAATCTTGAGTCGTGTTTCTGGATAATAGGAGTCATCAGAAAGAGAGGATTCCGAAAGTGAACTGGTTGTTGCTGTCCAGTTCTCAGTAGTAAAGGACATGGAAACATCCAGGGAGGGATTGCTTAGGCCTGGGGAGGGGACATTTCTGGGGTAGGCTCCTCAGGAAATAGGAACTTTGTGACTTTTCTCTGGAGACTGTTAAGTGAGGTGTCCAGGACAGGTAGCCACAGGAGCAAAACCTTCCTCCAGCTTGTCCCTCAGTAATCTCCATCCAGGTTAGTGGGACTGTCTGCTTCCAAGCACACAAGACCATGCAGCTCCTTGGAACAGTCTCTTAGCAGAGAGTCTTATGAGATGCAGAATTGTTACTTTAATGATAGGCCAGCTTTTATTAGAGGAGACAGAAGCAGAGTTTGTTCCAAGAGCAGTTCTCCCAACATCCTTCCCACCACCCCTCCAGCTACACACTCAAATGCACCAGGTCCTGATAATATGGGTGGGTGACTGGAGAAAACTGTAAGGACCTAGAGTACATTGCTTTGGTCCAAAGCTTATTCCTAGGGCGATCACTCTTCTGTTGGCTTATCACCTTGGAACATTTTAAAGGAGAAGGGTGTGTTTAACAGCTGATTGGTAGAAGACTGTGGGGAACAGATAGACTGTCTCATTCTTTCCTCAGCTGTCTGACCAGAGACAGACTCCCAGCTGCATCTCCCAGTTCTTGTTCACCACCTTCCAGTCAGCTTTCAGCTTCAGTTTGGGCTTTCTTCAGTGTCCTGGTCCCAGCAGCTCCCACTGGAATATAAGCTTCACAGAAGCAGGAATTTTTATCTACTTGTGTGCCCAGTGCCTCACTCAGAGCCTGGCCCATCAGTAAATGTTTGTTGACTGATTTCCTTTGTGTGTCTCTGCAGCTCCAGAAACGCTTCATCCTGAACCTGCCAGCCTTCAGTGTTCGAATCATTGACAAAAATGGCATCCATGACCTGGCCAACATTTCCTTCTCTAAACACGGCTCCTAACAAAATGCCCTCTCTCCCACCTGCCAGGGAACTTTTTTTGATGGGCTCGTTTATTTTTTTCTACTCTTGACATGCACTCTTGATAGATGGTTAATTCAGAATAAAGCTGACTATGGATAAATTGAACTCTCTAGTTGGAATCTCAGTTTACCTGACATCACCTCAGGAAGGAAACGGAGGAAGGATTATCTGCTTGGACTTTTGACCGAGACTGTCTTTCCTCCTGTTACTTTCCCTTTATTCATGCTGTAATTGCCCCTCAGCAGCCCAAAACCCCCCATTCTATTTCACTGCCTGGCTTCCTTCCCATCTAGCTCATTCATATATCATGCTGGATAATTCCTTCTAAAGCAGTGGTTCTTTCTTCCCCCTAAGCTAAAAAATTTTAAAATAATATGAATAATTATACATGCACTTAATAAAAATATGCACACAGTACAAAGGCACAGTAAAAAATGATTCTCTTGTCCCTAAAATTTGATCACCTGCTTCCCCTCCCAGAAGAAACTTCAGATATGCTGTTCCAGTATGAAATGTACACATGTACACACATACCCTCTTTAAAAGTAAGGCTGCACTCCCAGGTTTCAATTAAGTAAGCCTGGGTCTAGGGATACTTAAAGCTTCCCGAATAATTCTTATCTTCAGTCCTGACAGAGAACCACTGGATTGAAGTTTCTTTGAGGCAGTGATCCTCAAACATTAGCACACATCCCAGTCCTCTGGCAGGCTTAATTAAAACATAGCTTTCTGGGTTCTACCTTATAGCTTCGTATGTTTGGGGTGTGGCCTGCAATTCTGCATTTTCTAACATTTCCAATTGTAAGATAAACCCTATTTTACCAATTCTGTGCTACTCTTACTAACACATAAAGATAGGGTTTGAGTTCACGTGAAGTGAAATATCATCTCTAAGATACTAACTGCAGATCAGATCATGTGTGTTAACATCAGATTTAAATGTCACACACTTTAATACACCAATGATAAATGCTTTATACTGTTGAAGAAAGTTAATTATTGTATAAATGAGGGAAAAGATGATTCATCTGACGATAGCTAGTTCAACCTTCAGTACCACTGTTTGAAGTGGGTTGAAGAGTGAAGTGGGGTTAGGGGTATAACAGCCTTAGAAACTTTACTGTCAGGGAAATATATAGGGAAAGGATTTATATTTTGTAAGATAAGAGCCTAGAACGTGTGTGCTTTCGGGAATGATCTAGTAAACTAATAAGAGGGAGAGACTGATGATGCAGGAAAGAAAAGATGCCTAAAGAGTGAAATCCTCAAGTAAACGAGAGAGCTAGGCTAGTATTACCTTAAAACACACACACCCACAGTCACCAGCATTCACTCTGACACACATACAGACCCATCACCCACAACTGACACATTTGCACAGGCCCACCAAGTCATGATAATGTACATACAGACCCAGGAGTCACTTCACACTCTCAGAACTAAGCCACACTGACAAGCCAGATAGACCTACCATCTGTCCTCATCTCACATAGGCCCCTCCTGGAACTCTCCCTTCGGAGGCAATTCTCAGCCTGGGCTGAAGGAGGATCGGGGGTGGGAGGTAGGGGGAGTTCACATCCAATGGAAATGTTTTATTAAGAGAATGAGAAAGCATCCTGAGATTGGGGAGGTGCATCAACCCGAGGGGTCAAAGGAAACATCAGCAAATACAAAGTCCCAGCGAGGACCTCAAGGTCCCTAACACATCTTTCTTCCCTCTGGCTCCCCATCCCCCAACACTCCTTTGAACAGAAACACCTTCTCCATTCTGGTCTGGCCAGACATCTTGGAGCGTGAGCAGAAAAGAGTGAAACGAATCTTTAATGTGGGATAAATCAGTTGCGCTGGACATTTTAAAACTTTCAAATTTAATTACAACACACAAATAAATAGGGCAGACAATGACGAGGCTGTGAAGTCCAGCCTGGATTCAAGTTCTACAATTTGTGCTTTGTCTTCTGTGTTCCTGCCCACTTCTTTCCAAGAGTGGGAGGGGCCCACAGAACCCATTGGAGTTTTCCTGCCAGCACCCCTTTTTTGAGGGTCAAGATTCTGGGATGTAGGATGCCAACTCCTCAGTAGCACCTCTGGTTTGTCAACAGTTTCCCTCCTGTCATCAGTAAAAACAGCAAGGGCTTGGACTTTGAGTACCCACCACTGCCCAAGCACCCTCATGGCAAAGGCTCAGTCCCAAGAATCATGCCAATTTCCTGTTCAAGCACTTAGCAATCCAGGGTCAGAAAATTGCAAACAACAGGGCCCTTATCAAACCACCACAGAGAGGCCATCTCCACCTTTTCCAGCCCAGGCCTCTAACTCAGGGGTCCCTGGATGAATGTTCTCTTTTGGGTCTTCCTCCAACCCCACCTTTAAATCCTTTCAGGCCCACCCCCAGGAGCCAAGACCTCATTTCAGGCCTTGGGAGCCCCTTAGAGATGGGGCCTGGGAAGCGGTTATTTCCGATGCTTGGCATCCTTCTCTGAAGCTTTAGTGTCACCGTGCCCACTGCCCGCATTGCTTAGAAACATCTTGTCCAGCCCTTTGAGTGACTCCAGCAAGTAGTTCTGGAAGGCAGTGAGGGCAGCACAGATGGCTGGCCCACCGAAGCCATGGGTGATGAGGCTAAAGTGTGTCAGGCAACTCTGCACTCCGGGCTCCAGGATGAGAGCAGGGCGGCTGTTGCCCAGTGGCGAGCGGTCCTGAGCCATCAGGTCTGCAAACTCCTTGCAGATCTGCCTGGTGAGGGAAAAAGGGTCAGAGGTTAGAGGTCAGAGGTCTGAGCCCAGAGAAGGACCTACCATGTTCTGGGTACTTTATATTATTATTTTTTAAATATATTTTATTGATTTTTTTACAGAGAGGAAAGAAGAGAGAGAGAACTAGAAACATTGATGAGAGAGAGACATCAACCAGCTGCCTCCTGCACACCGTTACTGGGAATGTGCCCGCAACCAACATACATGCCCTTGACTGGAATCGTACCTGAGACCTTTCAGTCCGCAGGCTGACGCTCTATCCACTGAGCCAAGCCGGTTTTGGCAGGGTGCTTTATATTTATGATTGTTGACCCTGCCAATAGTCTGCAAATGATGATCATACTCATTTTATAGAAAAGGAAACTAAGGTTCAGAGACATGAACTGATTTGTCCCACAGCTAGTAAACAGCACATGCCAATACTTTAGGATCTTCTTGTGGACATCCTGCCCATATTCAAAGTCTAGCTCTACCACCTTATCCAGGAAACTTTCCTTGATCTACTCTCCTAATCCTACTCCCACTCCAAATACCAGTGCCTCACAGAGCTTTGAAATTATTAGGGAACAGTCTAGAATCTGCCTTGAATAATTGAAATAATAGTTCATAGTGAACATGAATTGAGGCCTACCATAAATGCTGTGACAAGTGTATCATCTCACTTAGACCTCACAACAAATCTATATTCTTATTATTATTCCATCGTATGATGAGGAAACTGGTTTCAGATAGGTTAGATCAGCGATCACCACCTTTCTGACCTCACAGACCACCAGTGGCCGATCACTGTTAGATGACCTGCCCAAGTGGCTAAGCTGGGATTTGAATCCAGCTCTAGTTTGCAGCCATTATTTGTTTCTTTGTGCATCTTGTGTGTGGCTCAGGCAGAAGAATCACCCCTGTCTCACCTTTGTGTCATGATGGAACCCATCAGCATCTTAGACATGATTGGGACCCAGAAAGTGCTTAATGAGTTGGCTGGTTAATGAGTGAGGTGAGTCCTGCCCTACATGTGTTTCTTCAGCTATAATATGAGCAGTCTCAAAGGTCTCATGAGTCATGGAAGTCCCTTGAGTCTGTGATTCCATTTCTGCCCAAGGAACTTGAGGAAGCCTCAAAGAGGTGAGGGTAGAATTGTGATTTGAAAGACTGCATTTCATGGGGGTACTGGCTGGTGTTCTAAGCAGGAGAGCAAGCCTAAGGATGGGAGGGCAGGAGAAATCAATTGGAGTGGGTATGGTTTGTGTGGGCTGAATTGTGAGGTCCTCATAGGAGTCTGGACTTTACCCAATGGATTGGTTGTTCTCAAAAAATTTTTTTTATTTCTTTCCTCTCTATGCCTCACTCTGTCTCTTCTTGTACTGGAATTCTTTCTAAAAACTAAATCTTAATGGAATAGCAGTTCATTAAACAGACCCTGCAGCATCCCCACAGAACCTACTTTGAAAATCAATGCAGTAGCAGTGGGAGCCATTGAAGGTTCTTGGACAGGAGAGCAGTGCATGTGCAGGGAATCTGAAGGAATAGTGGGGTGCTGGGGTGAAGATCCAGGAAAGAGATTAGAAGACTAGAGTTGAGGTGGCAGCATGTGAAGGGTGGTGAGGGAGGCAACAACAAGAGTTGTGGAGAGGTTAAATATAAAGTAAGGACAAGGGGTGATCAACCTGGGGCCTGGGTGGGCCTGGATGCTCTCATGAAAAGCACTGGAACAGAAGGGCTGATGGGTAAGGCTCAAGAAGAGGGAACAAGACCATGGAGCCTCAGAGCCATGATGGGACTAGGGCTGGTGGTGTCATGGGGCAGTGTATGGGAGCATGGCACAGACTATGTAAGCCTGTCTGTGACACCATTTTTGCTGATTCACAGAACCCGGCTATATTCATATATGTCCACGTGTGTACAGCATTGAGTGTAGATGTGCCGTGTGTGGTGCCACTTGTGCCCATGCGTGGAGTCTGTGCATTGCACCTATGTGTGCCTGATCATGGCACCCATGACAGCCTGCACAAAGTGTCCAAAAGTACCCACACTGCACCCACACTCACTTGGCAGCCAGCAACATGTTCTTGCGGCTGTGCAGTTCCCCAGGGTCAGCATGCTGTCGGCACAGGTACTCGGCAGTTGCCTTGGCTGGGAACTCGGTCTCACAGAGGTAGCCAAAGTCTCGGGCCAGGTGGATGGCCTCTCCTGGGAGGAAAGGCAAACAGATGAGCTGTCACTATAGCCAGGTGTACCTTTGGGACTGGAGCACCACCTTGAACCTCGACCCTCTGGCCAAGGCCCATCGTACCCCATCTTGCTTCTATAGATACCCTCCTCTGATTTCCCACTCCAGCAATCCCATTGCTGTCCCTTGGGCCACCAGGGACAGACTCTGAGTTTAGGGATGGGAGCTGAGCCCATCCTGTATCCCAAAGCTTGAGCTCCAGATAACCATAGCCTGAGTCACCAACCTCTTGGGAAAGTACTCTAGTCCCCTTACCCCTTTCCCTCATCCAATCACTGGTCACTCCTCCCCACACACACATGCTCTCTATTGCATGGGCACATACATACACGCACACAAAGGCTGAACATACTTATCATACACAGCACTTATTCATGACAGACAACAAACATGTGATTAAACACACCCTCCTGCATTGGAGACAGTCACACTGGATGACACAGGTCCCTCGTGCCTCAGCGCCCACCCTCAGCCTCACTCACCCTCCACCAGCGAAGTGAGCAGCGTCACGTTGGCGGCCTTGCGACGGCCAGCTGGCAAGTTGAGCCCAATCTTCTCCAGCCGTTCCCGCAGGCAGCGGCCTCCATTCTTGGACTTAGCCCTTCACGCGCACAAAGAGAGACAGACACACACTATGAAGACAAGAGAGAAGCATGCAGGCTAAGTGACCTTGCTGCTTCCACCAACCCCTGCTGAGGCGCAGGTCTGGCCCTGGGGACAGTCGGGGGTCTCTTTCAGCCTGGCCCCAACCTCTTTCTAACCTCACTGACTTTGTAGCCAAGATGGTGGGTAAAGGGCCTAGCTCCAGGAGCCCCTCATTCTCCCAGATCCTCTCAATAGTAGGATAGCCCAGGGTGTGGCAAGATAGACCTTTTTCCCACCTTCACATGCCAGCTCAGCTACCAGGGACACAAAGACCTTTATACAAATACACTGGGACAAGCAGACACACTCAGATATATATAGATACATACGCAGATGAGCGCACACTGAGGGCCAAGAATAAACACACCCCAACGGAGACAGACATACAGAGATAGACACTAGGCACACATAGGGACAGACAAATGTTCACATGAAGTCAGAATCTCAGAGACATGTACAGACACTCAAACATTCACACAAGCCCCTCAGGGTTGCTCGAAGAGACCAGGAATAAGGAAGTACTTCCATACCTGCACAAATGCAGCCCCCACATGTAGGTACATATGCATGCCTCGCTCCAGATGTACATGTCATCACATACACACAGGATAGGACACACTCCATCTAACTCATCCCACTGAAAGTAACACAGGAAACTCACATTCATGGAACATGTCTTCCCAGCCACCCCCTACACCACACACATGCACACACACACACACACACACAAACATGCACTCATGCATGCACACATATGCACACACCATCCACAGGCACACCAAGACCCAGCCCTATCTAGGCACAAAGATAGGCACGAAGAGAGACAGACACACAACTAGAAGATAACTACGGACCCCAAAACGCACACACCAGAGAGGCCTTTGCTCCACGGGGGATGGGCTTTGGGTCCTGGGGGCCCTTTTCTAGAAGAGGGGGTGAGGGGAGCACCCTTCTTCCCGGACCCAGCCTTGTCCATCCTGCCCAAGAGGGGTGAGTCCTCCATCCCTCCTCTATGCCCAGGCTTCTTCCTCCACCCCCCACCCTCAAGGCCTCAGACCTGTAGATGCTGCTGGGGACCTGGATCTCCCCTCCGGGAGACTGAGGCACAGGCGGGCCCTGTGGCTTTGGGTGAGGTGGACCCTCTTTGATCCCCTGAGGAGGTGTGAGATGGCACGGACTGTGGCCCAAGCACTGTGCAGGGAGCTGTGGGTTGGCCTTCCTACCTGCGAAGGACACCACCCAGGAGTGAGGCGTTGAGGCACTCGGGAGGTGAGAGTCGCCGCTGGACCTCCCCCACTGTCACCTTGTACTTGGATGTCGAGCTGAGCAGCGACAGCCGGCCTGGCACGGAGCAGAAGACCTCACTGGGGTTCGTGATGCCGCCAACCAGGCTGTCTCTGGCCAGTGAGAGGGCCGAGAGGCTGCCGGCTTTGGAGGGGATGGGGACTGTGGAGCAGAAGCAAGAGCAAAGGAGAAAGACAACACTGAGCCAGGGACCTCAGGACACTAGCAGCTGTGGGGTGAGCACGGTGGTGGAGCAGCCGCTCTGAGCTGAGCACCGTGCTACATGCTGTGCACACAGGCACATTTAAATGCCCCAGCATCTCTCAGAGGAAGGTTCTCCGATCCCTGCTTTAACGAGGAAGAAACGGAGGCACACTGGCGTTAATGTGACTCACCCAAGTTCACTCAACGAATGGGTGGTGGACACTGAACCTAGAGCTAGCTGTCTGGTTCTTGAACCTGTGTTCCCTTCACTAAACCAGGCTCGTTCCCTGTTAAAAATTCAAACAGCCCCAGCAGACTCTTGGGGGTTGGGCATGTACAACCAGAGAGGGAGTTGGAAATGAGGAAATGGGGTCTGAGCTGGAGGCAAGATTCCTGGGTCTCTGTGGCAGGGCCCAGCCAGATCAGGGCAAACACAAGGAGTCCCGAACTCCCCCTGCCCACTTGTGATCCTATGTCTTCTCCTCCAGAGCAGTGAGGGGACAGGGAGGTTACAGCCCCATTAGGACTCCAGCCCTGGCCCCTTCCTACCCCTTCTCTGATTTGCTCAAGGAGATAAGGAATAAAGAGACACCCTCTGGCCCCCTCCCCCAAATGCTCTTTAATTATCTACCAACAGTTACAAAGGGCAGAGAAGGGAATCTCGAGGTTGATTTTCTAAAACCCACTTGGATATCCTTGCCTATAATAGAAAGTTCTTCCTGAATTCTAATCTCCATCTTCCTGCTTAGCTTCAGAGGGGAGAACACCTGAGACACTTATTTCCCCTGAGGCTTAGCTCCTTACAAGGAAGTGAGAGCCTTGGTGTTAAAAAAGAGAAAAGAAACTCTTATGTGTGTGTTGGTGGGGATGGGGGGGTGTCATGTGGGGAGTCTGGGGCCAACTGTTATTGAGCTCTCACTATGCTATGAGCTTATACAAACAACCTTCAGAACAACTCACAAGGGGGCTTCTAGTACATTTATTATTCCCATTTTATAGAACAGAAGATTGAAGCCCACAGAGGTGCAGTAGTATGCCTGAGATCACACAGCTGGTAAGACTTAAAACCAGCAGCAAGTCCTGGACTGTGATCACAAAGACAGCGCTCTTGGCCCTCTAGCCATTTGGCAAGTATTAGCTGAGTGCCTGTGCCAGGAGCTGTGCTGGGCCCTGGGAATGCAGAGGCAGACAAGGTTGACCCGGACCTGGCCTGGCAGAGCCCGTCCAGCTTTTCCCTCTGGGTGTGCATCCCCCTTCCCCTGTCCCCCAGCCAGAAACCTCGGGGATGCCCTTCACACTGCCCTCTCCCACCACATCCATCCATCACCACGTCCTAGGTCTCCATTTCTCCACGTGCCCTGAATGTGGCCACTTCTCCAGGTATGCACAGACACTCACTTCCTGCCTGAATTTCAGCACAGTCCCTGCTTTGGTCTCCCTGCCCTGCTGCAGAGGGAACTTTCTTAAACACACATCCCTCTCCAGCCTAAAAGTGGTCAGTGTCCAGTCAGTTCCCTGAGAGACAAAGTCCAGCTCCATAGCTGGACACAGGAGGTACCGACTCTATCTATACCCAGTGCTTTACATTAACAGCTCTGGGGAGTGGATGCCATTATCCATCCCTATTTCAAAATGAAAAAACTCGGTTCTGGCACAGCAATCAGGAGCACAGACTCTGATCATGGACCCCAGGGCTCACATCCTAACCATCATTATACCCTACTTCACCCTCCTTTGTAGCCTGCCTACCCCTCTTGCCTGGTCCCCCACTTACCCTTTAGCCTCTTGACCCACACTGACCAATAGAAGTGTACTGTGAGTCATGTTCATACATTTACAGTTTCTCAGAGCCCCATTTAAAAAGGTAAAAAGAGAAAAAAGTAACCATGTTGTGTTGCTCCGTTTAGAAGAAAGAAAAAAGGTTTTTAAAAGGAACTCTCTAAAGATAGCTTAGAAATTACTCTGGGAGAAAATAAAGGGAGGTTTCCTTCAAATGTCTGGAAAATTATAATTAAAAGTTAATATAAAAAAATAAAAATAAATAAAAATAAATAAAAAATTAAAAAGAAACATGCAAGATTAATATATTTTATTTACCCCACTATATCAAACATATAACCATTGAAACATAATCAATATGTTAAAAATTACTCCTGGGCTTTCTTACATTCTTTCCTTATACTTAATCTTCAAAATTCAATGCATATTTACACTTATGGCCTATCTTAATGCAAACTAGCCACATTTCAAGTGTCCACTAACCCCATATGGCTAGCAGCTTCCACAGGAGATAACACAGCTCTAGATTTTAAAGGGGAAGTACAATAGGTGACCTGTCAGCGAGATGTGGGTGACTGGTGACTGGCGCTGCCCTGTACAAAGCTGCCACTTGGCTCTTACCATGCTGGACATACCGACATTGCCGGATATCCTGGTTTGTTTGTCTGTTTTTGCTGGTGAGATCAGGACTCTGGATTTCTATGAGAAATCTCTGTATTTTTAAACATGAAAAAGTGCTCAAAGTCATTAATCACTGGAGAAATACAAATTAAAGCTAGATGCCACTAGGATGGCTATAATAAAAACAATAGACAACATCAAGTGTAGGTGAGAATGTGGAGCAACTGGAACCCTGACATTGCTAGTGGGAATGCAAAATAGAACAGCCACTTTGGAATACAGCTTGGCATTTTCTTTCTTTATTTATTTTTTTCTTTATTTTTTCCTTTTAAAAAAATATATTTTATTGATTTTTTACAGAGAGGAAGAGAGAGGGATAGAGAGTTAGAAACATAGATCAGCTGCATCCTGCACACCCCCTACTGGGGATGTGCCCATAACCAAGGTACATGCCCTTGACTGGAATCGAACCTGGAACCTTTCAGTCGGCAGGCCGACACTCTATTCACTGAGCCAAACTGGTTTTGGCTTGGCATTTTCTTAAAAAATTAAACATAAACTGCCCTGGCCAGTGTGGTTAAGTAGTTTTAGTGTTGGCCTGTGCACCAAGTTTCGAGGGTTTGATTCCCAGTCAAAGGCACATGCGTAGGTTGCAGATTTGATCCTCAGCCCCAGTCAGGGCTCATGTGGGAGGCAGCCAATTGATGTGTTTCTCTCACATTGATATTTCTTTCTGTCTTTCCCTCTCTCTTCCACTCTCCCTAAAAATCAATGGAAAAATACCCTCGGGTGAGGATTAACAAGAAAAATTTAAACACAAATTTGCCATAAAACCCAGCATTTCCATTTTAGCTAAATGCAATGAAAATGTATATCCACTCAAAGACATGTATGTGAATGGCTATAGCAGAATTATTCATCATAGCCAAAAAGCAAAACACCAAGTTTTTTTATGAATAAATAAATAAATAAATAAAACGTGTTGCATCCATACAAAATACTTGCTCAGCAATTTTGAAAAAAGGAGTACTTATACATGCTATCGTATGAATAAACCTCAAAATATTGTGCTAAGTAAAAGAAGCTAGATGCAAAAGTCTATATTTATATATCCCATTTGTATAATATATCTAAAACATGCAAATTTATAGACAGAAGGCTGATAATGGTTACCTAAGGCTTGGAGTGAGAATGGGGATTAACTACAAATAAAGGAATTTGGGGGTGATGGAAATGTCTAAAAATGGATGTAAGTATGTTCTGCTGGTTGGCTCAGTTGTTTGTAGTGTCATCCCATTCACCAAAAGGTTGCAGGTTGGATTCCGGGTCAGGGTCCATACCTAGGTTTTGGGTTTTGATCCCCAGTTGGGCGGATATGGGAGGCAACTAATTGATGTCTCTCTCTCTCTCTCAAAAAAGTAAAAATAAATAAAATAAAATAAATGAAACATATCCTCAGGTAAGGATTTTTTAAATGGATGTAGTTATGACTATGCAAATAGAAATTTACTAAAAATCATCTTGATATAGTCTAGCAATGAATGCATTTTAGGTATGTTCCTACCCTTCACTCCCATGCTCTACACTGCCCTCTGATACCACCAAACTCTGCCTGGACACCAGATTTTCATCTCTCTTTGGGGCAAACAGTGGCCTGTCTGGGAGGCAAAGGAAGCAGAGTTGTGCAAGTGCAGGATCCGATTCTGTCTTTAAATAGTAAAATTTTGATATTTTGTTTATCATGGATTTTTTGCATTATTTTTATTTTAAAATATTACATTAAAATATATTATGTATCTAAATCTTGCCTCAGAGTGAGTACCTCACCCTAGGCCTGGCCCTGCTTGGGTATTCATTTGGAAGCCCACGCCCTCCCCATCTCCATTTCCTTCCCCAGAGCCAAGAGGAGTAGAGGGGAGATGACTGTTTTGCCCTAGAGATCCCCCTGAGATTGGAAGATGGAGCCCAGCAGAGAGGGATTCCCCACTCCCAAGGAGGCAACGCACTCTCCTCAGAGGGAAGGAGGAATATCTCAGTTCTCATCTCCAAACCGATGCTCTCCAACTTTGACTATATAAACTGAAACCCCTGAAGATGCTTAGCCTTTATAAGCGGCCTGGCTTTTCCACAGACCGGGCATTTGCACACGCTGTGCCTCCTGCAGTGAAAGCAGCAGGATGCTTTCTACACGCCCCCCCTCAATCACTCAGACTTCAACACCCATCAGTCAGTCACTCAGCAAACACCCATTGGGCGCCTAGGGAGCCGCTTCCTAGTGTCTCCTCCAGGAACCCTAACCCTAACCCTAACCTCAGGCCCCTATCCCTTGCTTCTGAGCTCCCACCACCACCTGCACAGGTCCTCTCACTGCCTTTCTCAGCCAGAAAATACTCCGGCCCAGGTCTAGTCTTCCTCTCCACGCCCGCCTGCTTCCTGTGCCCCCGGGACAGGTCGCAAAACGGGAAGAAACAAATGTGGGTAGAAAATGGAGGGCTCCCTGCTTCCCTGGGGTCGGCTGGGACCCCACCTGCCATTCTCTAACCCACACTCCACACCGTGGCTTCAAGGGGCTGCCCACCCGAAGTGTGCGGTGGAGGCGGGGCTTCGCCTGGGTGGGGGTTGGGGGGATCTCCAGGATAAGTGGTGGAGAGCCAAGATTTTACAACCAACGGCTGGGCCCCGACAACTTCCAGGCTCTCCTCCCCAGGAGCCCAAGGTAGGAAGATCGCATCGTTTTGGGGATCGGCGGAAGCTGCCTGCCTCCCTTCTCACCATCCAGCATCCAGAATGCCAACCGTCCGGTACTCACAGGCGCCCCTCCCGCCGGAGCCGGGAGATGCTGGAGGCATCGGATGCTTCAGGGACCAAGACGGATTTCCCATAAATCCAGGGCCCGGGCCGGACCGAGGTCCCCACAACTGCCGGCAGGTACCGGACGAATTCAGGACTCCCCAGGGGCTCCCTGTGCCTCGAAGGGCTCCAGGGCGAGGCTGGGCGCTAATTCACGGCCCCCAAGGAGCTGGCGGCGGGCCCGAGTCCGTATTACCAGCGGAGGACCCCAGCGAAAACGGTCCGCTGCGATCAGGGCCACCTGATTAGCTGAAGAGCACAGCCCCAGGTCCCACCCGGGACCAGCCTCCTCCGTATTTGCAAAGCGTGACTGCACTGGCCTTGCGCTCCCGGCTTTGGCGTCCAGGGTGGGGTGCCCAGGCCGCCGGTTACCCAGCTCAGACAGCCACTCACCCGCTGCCACTGCGGTCCAGTGGGTGTGCGAGCCTGTTCCCCTGACAACCACATCTGCTTCCCCATTTACCCCATCTCACCCCATCCAACCGCCCCCAGCCAGCACAGCGGGACTCTGGGCAGAACTGGCCACACTCTCCCTGTTCTAGGGACTGCCTTTGGGGACCCGCACACACCTTGGACCCGGGATTTATGGAAACTGATGTCTCTTGAGAGAAACCAACTCCCTCCACACAGCCAGCCCTCCCACCCTTGCTCTCTGGTCTGGGGTTTGGGGTTTAAGGTACCCAGAGAACAGGCTGATTTTCTACTCCTCCTCAGGCAGAAGTCCCCAAGCCCCCTCCCAGAATGCAGGGGGCTAGTCTCCCTGCCCCTCCCCCCTTAGGTCTCCCAGCCCCTCCAGCCATGGCACTGGACACCAAGGCCATGGTCATCTCTCTGGGTGGACAGAGCTTTCCCTTCTGAGGGAAAAAAAAAAAAAAAAAAAAAACAAACACAACTAAGCCATCGCAGTGCCCACCCCAAAGAGCTAGGTCACAACTTTAGGCAGCCAGGTTCCCAGAGTCCTCCCCACCTCCCCGCTCCAGGTCACAGCCCCAATCCCTGAAGCCCCCTTTCTTCAAGTTCGGGAGGTCAGTCCTCTCAGCTTGCCCACACACACTCCAGGCAGTCCAAATAGCTCTCAGTCCAGCCCTTAGCTCCTCCAGGTCTATCCCCAACCCCCACCCCCAATTCCACCTCCACCCCAGCCTCTGCTGGGAACAGGGGGAGGGCAAACAGAGCCCATGCTTGAATTCATTCTTGAAAAACAGCTCGAGCCAAATCCCACTGGAGCAGCTCCTCAGGTTTGTCTGTGCCTCTGGATTCTTGCCCCACACCAGCTCCAAATCTAAAGAGCCCGCTCAAGGCCCAGACCCCTCAGAATCTCGGTCTCTGTTTTCCTCTGTCTCATTCTCACCTTTTCCTGGCACGGCCAGAACTCAAGCCAGAAAATCCACTTGAAACCCCTGTCTTTTTCTAGTCTATCTCCCCACCACCACCACCACCACATACACACACATACAAAAAAAAAAAAAAAATACACAGGAAGTGACCCTCACATGCTTAGGGATCCTCAGTACTAAAGATGAAATTCTGGGACACAATGAAGACCCTGATACACATATAGAAACCCCCAAACATATGGAAACGTACACCAACATGAGAGAAACGCACCACACACTCAACAACAGAAACACATATACCAGGAAATACCAGAAAGACACCTAGGAAAGGAACATACAGGACCTGAACTCACACTGACACCCAGAGCAGGCAGGCGGCACACACCAGCTCCCTTGAACCCCTTAACCGTAAATGCCAAAAAGGCTCCCGCTTGGAGAGAAAATTCCCCAGGAAAACGCAAGATTCACCACCGCCTTCCCTCCCCGCAGCTCCCCACCACCTGCACAGGCCTGACGGGAAGGAAGGGGGCAGAAAGCCCTTGCCAGGCTAACAAGCGGCAAGGCTCTGTCAGGTGGGAACAGCACCTCCATTCTCACCTCTTAGGAAACGGGGAAGCGGTTTAACTCGTTCTGCAGATTAACTCCAGATCCACAAAAGCGCCCTCCCCTCGGAAGGGAGAGGCCAGGCCCCCTGGGAGACTGGACTGGCGGGCAAGTTGGATGCGCGCTGATGGACTCGCTCCCCCGAGGCCCCAGGCTCTGGGACCAACTCACCAACCGGCACAGCTGCCCAAGCTCTGGCCAGACCACCCTCTACCCCCTCAAACCCTCCCCGAGCCTCGCCTGCCCCTCTACTGGGCCGAAGAGTGCCCTGTGGCCACCAAGCCCACCAAGCGGGGCGGTGACCACAGGAGGCGCGCTCCAACGGGAGAGAAAATGGGTCTGTGCGCCCCGGGCCTGCACCATCGCGCCCGACTCTGCCCTGGCAGGTGCACGCCAGTCCTTACCTTTCTTGATCACAGACTGGTCCAGAAGGCTCACTCCCGAATCATCCATGGCCTGCGAACAGGAGGGGCGGTGGTAAGAGCGCTGGTGGACCTAGTGTCCTTTCACTTCCCAAGCCCCGCGGTCCCTGCTCCCTGTCCTGCCTGCTCCCTGTCCTCCTGCTCCGGCCAACGTGCACTGCGGTCGGGTCGCCTGGGGTGGGACCAGGGTTCGCAGAGGCTCGGCACCATCTGGGCCGTGGGCATCTCACCGTAAGGGGATTTCGAACCTTTTTTAGGGAATGTCGACTCTGCCTCTCTTCGCTCCAGGCTCAGGCTGCCTCTGCAGACCCGACGAGGCCCAGCCGGGAGGGAAAGAAGCGGCTCAGCCCCTTCCCATTTATTGGATGGAGGGTGGCCGCCATCCAGGCACGGCGCAGAGACCCAGTCCCCGCGGGCCCGGCACACCGAAGGCAGGACCTGGACACCTCCCGGGACTCCTGAGCGAGGAGCAGCAGGCTGGGAGGAAAGGTGGTTTCCCGCTTTCGGCTCTTCACCTGCAGCCAACGTCCCAAACCCGGCCCATCCCGGGCAGTCCCGGCCTCACCTGCAGGTCCTCCAGGCCGGGCGGCGCCGCCAGCCCGGGGAGGCCGAGAGGGGTGTCGGCCAGGCCGTGCGCGCCGTCGGCCAGGCCGTGCAGCAGCCGGGGCACCGCGGCGGCGGCGGCGGCGAAGTCGCGGCGCGGGTCCAGGCCCAGGGGGCGGGCGGGCGGCGCCAGCAGGCCGGGCGGCTCGGGGTGGGCGCGGGCGGCGGCGGCGCGGGGCGCGGCCCAGGCGGCCTGCGGGGGTGGCGGCTGTGCCAGGGGCGCCAGGCCGCCGTACGGGTCGCCCGCCAGGTGCGGGAAGGCGGCGGCGGCGTCGGGCGCCTGGCCGTAGGGCAGCGGCGGCTGCGGGTAGGGCGGCGGGAAGTAGGGCGGCTGGAAGTCGGCGGCCGCGGCCGCAGCCGGCGTGTGGCAGAGCGGGGGCGCGGGCCCGTAGGCCGCCGGCGGCAGGGACGACAGGCGGGCGCCTCCGGCCGCGGCGCCCAGCCCGTCGGGGCGCTCCTGGAGGAGGAGGAGAAGGGCGCGTTAGGCGATCGCCCGCCGGCGACAGGGTCCGGCCCCAAAGGGACCCTCCTCCTGGACAGCTCCGTCCAGCTGCCGTCCTCCCAGCCTCCCGGGGCCCGAGGTTTATGTCTGGAGCCCTGCGCTCACCGGCCCCCGGCTGGCTGGCCCCTGCGGTCCCCACCCTCTGAGATTTCGTTGTGGGAGGAGGATCGGAAGGTCCAGCACCCAGGCCTCCTGCTGGCCGCGCACCCCCCGGGCCCCAGACTACTCACCATGGGGGAGTACGTGTGCACCAGCATGGGGCAGGGAGCGCAGGGTGCGAGGCGTGGCGGCGGCGACGGAGCCCTCGCCCGACGGCCGGCGGGCGGGAAGAGGCTCGGGAGCCTGCACAGCCCGAGGGGATCGCCTGGTGGCGGGAGTGGAGGTCCCCACAACCTGAAACCCAGCGGGCGTCGGGTCCTCAAGTGTGGGCGACCCCGGGGGAGGCCATGGGGGCGGGACGCGGGCCAGACGGGCTCTGATCGCACTTGGAAAAGTCGGCCAGCGGGTGCCCGGCGCCCGCCCTCCTCCCTCTGAGCGCAGCCCGCTCCATGCACTCCGGTTATAGCGGCGGGGGCGCGCCGGGCCTCCGGGGGCGCGCATTAAAGAGACAAGCGGTGGCCGCGTCTCCCTGCTCCCGGCGGAGGCTCTGCGGGAGGCGGGGCTTGGGCGCGACCCCACAGGGTGAGGAGCTCCTGGTGCATCCAGTCCCCGCGGGCCACCCCAGCTGCTGTGAGGCAGAGGATGGATTCAAGGCTGGGGCGTAGGGGCCTTACTGCTTCTTTGCCTTTGAGCAAAGCACCACTGTTCCTCAGTCTCAGCTTCCTTGTCTGTAGAATGGGTATCCGTCTTTTCTCTAACCGCCTCCCCTCACCGTGAATGTGGAAGAAGGTTGTGAGCTGTAGACTCAAGGCCACCGGCTCACGTGTGTGTGTGTGTGTGTGTGGGGGGTGGTGTAGGGACCATCAGTCTCTCTGAATGTTTCCAGATCAAAGCGCCTCTGAGGGTGCCCACTTACTCCAGGAGGCTTCTCTGGGGCTGGTCGTTCCCAGTGCCAAGCCAGCGGGCATCTGAGTAAGCTGGAGAGAATCTCTCTAGACTGAGTGAGTTGCCTGGGACTGGGGTTGAGCATGAGTTCCATCTGAGGAGGGCCTCGGCTGGCTGAATGTGGGCCTGTTGAGTGAATGGGTATGTAACTGACACTGTGTGGATGGTGTGTGATCCTTTCACTAGCATGCACAGGCTGTGTTACCGTGGCAAACACTGGGTAGCTTTCAAACATGTTCCAGTCTCTGTGGTCACTCTATCTTTCTTTTCCCCAAAACCCAACCCTGCCCTCCAGAGAGAAACAGGGATAGAGATGAAAGAAAGGGAAATAAGAGGAATGCTAAAGGGAATAAGAATTAAGAAGGAAGATTTTTTTTTTAAGCCAGAAGGTGCTCAAACCAGGGTATAATAGAAATAGTCCCAGCAAACATTTATTACAGAGTGTGCCAGACTCTGTGCTAAATACTTAATGAATATTGAGCTATTTAACCCTCACAGTAGCCCTATGAGATAGAAAGCCTTATCACCCCCCTTCTCAGGTGAGGAAAATGAGGCACAGAGAGGTGAACTGACTTGCCCAAGATCAAGCATCTAGTTAAGTGCCAGAGCCCAGTCCGCTTCTAGCCTCTCTCTGTGCTCAGAATTCCTATTCTGTGTTGTCTGATATTCAGGTGCCTAGAATTTAGTCCTGGCTTCAACTGACCCGTGATTCTGGGCAAATCCATCTTCCTCTCTGATCTCAGTTTCTGCAGCTTCAAAAACAACAATAAAGTAGGGGAGGGCAGAGAGGACTAGCTGTGGGAGACAGAACATAAAGGTAAAAAATTTGAGATAGAGGAGAAGGGGAAATAGAGGAGACACCATTAACCCATGACATGTAGGTGGCGGAGACGTGAAAGGGGTGTCCCAGGAGGTACATGGAGGGTGCAGAGCTCAGGTCTGGGTCATCTCTGGCTAGGGGCCTGCGGGGCACAAGGAGGCGAATAACAGCTAAAGAGCCACCACTAAGAACTTTCCAGAGGTTGGCACCACCAGCTAGAGTGGAGGAGGAAACAGAACTGGGCGGTTCTGCAGCCTTTGTGCCCGGGACAGATCAGAGGTCAGGAGTATGGTTGCATGTGTGTCTATATAAGTGGGTGTGTGAGTCTGTGGTGAGACCACCCTCAACTTCAGCAAAGGACCTCAGAAGTCAGGCTTCGGGTCAGGTGATTGTGTGTTGATGCATGGTACGCCGGTCAGTAGACCTCTTTGGGAGAAGTCCAGGGAGGCAAGGCTGTCATGCCTGTGCCCAGCTGAGGGATCCCCTGCTTTCTCCAGCAGGCTTGGGGAGGCCAGAATGACAGGATGGGCTGCCTGTCCAATGGCCTCCTTGGGTTTCCTCACCCTCCTTCTCTGCAGCTAAGGGGGGTGCCTTTTTACCTTATTTTCCCTTCTTTTCTGGCCATTTCTCAGTTTTCTATTTCCTCCCTTTCCTTCCTCATCCTTAGTGTCATTTATTCATCCTCAGAATTGCAGCTTCTGCCTTTTCTTCCTATCTACAATCTTCACGAGCCAGTTCATCCCCTCTGCTGCTATCTCCCAGCTCTGTTATCTCCAGTCTGTATCTCTCACTAGAAATCCAGACCCTTAGACGCAGTTGCCAGTAGGATACTTCCCCCAGACATCTTGTTGCCACCATCTGAAACTTGCCGAGTCCCAAACTGAACCCTAACACCTCCTTCACCCCACCAGCAACCCCTACCTCCTTATCCTCCTGAGTTCTGTAGTTCCATAAATGGCACCACCATCCTTCAGATTAAAAATAGAGTCATCCCAGACTCTGACTCTGACCTCCTCCCGCCCATAAGCTGCTCCTCATGGAATGTTGTCATTTCTTACCCTTAAGCATATCTCTCCACCTCTCTGTCTGCACCTTAAGCTACACTCTTTCTTATAGACCACTAATTCTCAAAGTGTGGTCTCTGGACCAGATTCACCTACATCATGTAGGAATGTGTTAGAGGTGCCAACTCTTGGACCCCTCCCCAAATGTGCTGAATCAGTATCTTGGGGTGGGGGGTGGCAATCTGTGTTTTAATAAGCCCCATATAAGGTAAATTCAGGTATAGTATAGTCTGTGAACTACTGCCCAGACCATCACAAACCCACTGACTGGTCTCCTGCCTTCATCCACATGCCTTCTCATCCAATTCCAATTTCATTCAACAACAGTGATTAGACCATGTAACCTCCTCCTACTGAAGACTCTGCTGGGGCTCCCAAGACCCATCTTCAGGGGGAAGCTTAAACATTCTAACCAGCATTCCAGGCTTTTCGAAGCTGCAACTAATTTTCCTTTCCTGCCTCATGAACTATTTCACAAGATGAAAGGAGAGAGAAAACGTGGGTTTGATGATGGCAGGTGCTCAGTGAATGCACATTAAATAAATGATACATGAATCAATGGATGAGTTTATGAATCCTTCCGCCTATTGAGCCTTCCTATAGGAAGCTTCCCTGCAAGCCTGGTCCTGGGTAGCTAGAACCCAGATATAATTGAGAAAGTCATCTGAGAAAAAAGGGATTTTGCTTAGGACTACTGGAGAGAGGGATGCTGTCCATGGTCTGCTGCTGATTTGGGGGACCCCTAAAAATTTAAGGGTCCTATGGCTTAGACTCTGTTGCCCTTCTCTTTCAGGGCTAAGGGACTCTTCATTCTCTCAGGCATGGACTGTTCTGGTTTCTCTGGGACACATGCACACATGTGGAGGCCTGAGTATGTATAGGACATGCAACATGCACAGAGACACTCATGGGAAACACATGGGAACACAGGACATATATTGACACGTAGGTGTATATGTTCAAACATACATACATCCCCATTGGCATATTGCTCTTCCCCCAGGCTCAGAGTTTTCCCTCTCTTTTCAAAAAGTGAGTTTGCATTTGGACTTTTATGTAAAAAAAACAACAACAACTTAGGCCTGCCTCCTTTATTGTGACACAGCCACCCTCCTCCCATCCTTTGATAACCTCCTACGCTGGGCCTGGCTGAATACAGGATGGGGGAAATCTGGCACAAGGAGATGCTTAGGCTCCACCTTGTGGTGAGATCTCACAACTGCAGCTGGTGTCTCCCTATTTCCCTGGAGGCTGAATTACCTGGCCTCTCCTAGTTAGCCTCCCTATTCCAGAGGCCAGAATTCTCTGACTGTCCCTCACTAAAGTACAGACAGAACTCAATCAGCCTTGTACTGTGAGGTTTTCTTCAGCGTTTGGATCCCCCGTGAATGAGGGACAGTACTTTGAGAGCAGGGACCATGAGTGGTTGCCACTTGCTTTGGGGCTCTGAAGTTCGCCAGATGATCCCAGTCACTCCCATGACTTTAAGGACCCTCTATAACAACTGACAAATCTGTTGCTCATCCAGACCTGTCTCAATTCCAGAGCTCAGAAAGCAACTGCCCCCTGGATATTTCACAAGTAGCACAAATGCACCCTTTACATTTATTTATTTTATTTTTACATTTTTAAAATTTTTATTTTATTTTATTTATTTTTACATATTTTTTTTGATTTTTTTGCCCTCCCTCCCTCCCTTACACATATCCCCTCCCTCCCCAGAGTTTTATGTCCATTGGTTGTACTTATATGCATGAATACACGTCCTTGGGTTGATAATAGATCAACCCAAGGACGTGTATTTTTACATATTTTTTATAATTTTTTTTTTTTTTTTTTACATAGAGAAACATCAATGAGAGAGAAACATTGACCAGCTGCCTCCTGTACACCCCCTACCGGAGATGTGCCCACAACCAATGTACATGCCTCGACCGGAATTGAACCAGGGACCTTTCAGTCTGCAGGCTGACGCTCTATCCACTGAGCCAAACCGGTTTTGGCACCCTTTACATTTAGAGTTTATATTCTGCACCACCCTGTTTCCCAGTGTTTCTCATAACAGTGACCGGCCTTATCCACTCAGTGGCCTAGATCAGGAATCTGGAAGCCATCTTTGCCTCTTCATCTTCACTTCCAATGAATCACCATGCCTTATAAATAACTCCTACCTATATTTTCTTCATCCTCACTGCAGCTGGCTTAGTTCAGACTTACGACCTCCTCTCAAGCTTGGTGCTTCAGTTGTCCCTTACAGCCCAAATCATCTTGCTTCAATGCAAACTGGATCACATTCAATGAGCTCAAAAGTCGGCAGTCTCTGCATGATCCCACATCTAAGCTTCTTAGCACAGCACAGCAGGACTTAAGATCTGGTTCATGGCTACTCGTCTTCCACACTCCCCACTCATTCTCCACTAGAGCATTAATGACCTACTTGCAGTTCCCAAGCTTGTATGCCTTACCTGCTGTTTCTCGGCTCGTCTACCTGGCAAGCTCTCCTCATCCTCAGCTCTCCGAGCAAATACTTTTCCTGGACTTATTCAGCCAGGCCGAGGGGCTCTCAGGCTCCAGCCACACTTCAGTTCAAACCCCCATATGGGCAACTGTTTATACCTTTAGGAACTGTTTGCTGCCTTGTCTGTTTCCCCTTTAGATTTTTTAAAAAATATATTTTATTGATTTTTCACAGAGTGGAAGAGAGAGGGATAGAGAGTTAGAAACATCGATGAGAGAGAATCATCTATCAGCTGCTTCTTGCACACCCCCTACTGGGGATGTTCCCGCAACCAAGGTACATGCCCTTGCCCGGAATCGAACCCAGGACCTTTCTTTCAGTCCGCAGGCCAACACTCTATCCACTGAGCCAAACCGGTCTCGGCTCCCCTCTAGATTTTAAGCTGCTTGAGAGCAGGATTTGTCTTTTCATATTTTTCAAGCATTTCAGGGAATCCATGCTAAGAATGTGATTTTCTGTACATCCAGTAAGTAAATAAATATCCCTTTCTGTCTATGCATAGCCAACCATAAGGAGGCATCTAGGATATGCTTAGAGAATGCGACTTGAGGGCCTAGATGGAGAAGAGTCTGCAGGGAGTGTGGGCTCTGGGCTGGGCTGGCTCCAATCTGAAAGCTTTGGCTCAGCCTGGTGAGGCAGTGGGCGGTCTGCTCATCTCCTGCTGAAGTCTCAGGCCCTTCCCCTTTTCTTTCTTTTCATTTAAAAAAATATATATTTTATCGATTTTTTACAGAGAGGAAGGGAGAGGGATAGAGAGCTAGAAACATCGATGAGAGAGAAACATCGACCAGCTGCCTCCTGCACAGCCCCCACTGGGTTTGTGCCCGTAACCAAGGTACATGCCCTTGACTGGAATCGAACCCATAACCTTCCAGTCCGCAGACCGCTGCTCTATCCACTGAGCCAAACCGGTTCCGACCCCCTTCCCCTTTTCACTTGCATAGGACAGAGGTGGACATTTGGCCTGCTTGAAAGCAACATTTGGCCTGCAGATGTCTGTTGGGGTAGTAGTGATTGAATTTTAAAAATTATCAACATTTGAAAGTCAGGTTCCACATAAGAATTAAGAATTTTTGAAATCTCTTTAAAAATTGGAGGATGTGGCCCTGGCCAGCTTGACTCAGTGGTTAGAGCGTCAACTGGCAGACTGAAGGGTTATAGGTTTGATTCCCAATCAAGGGCATGTACCTCGGTTGTAGGTTTGATCCCGGACCTGAAGTGTGCATTCAGGAGGCAACCAATTGATGTGACTCTCTCACATCAGTGTTACTCTCTCTCCCCGCCATCTACTCTCTCTAAAAATCAATGAAAAAAATATCCTTGGGTATTAGAGAATGTGGCATTGCCACTTGGCAACAAACTGCTGACATGGAGGGACAGCATTTCATCTGTACAGAAGGTCACCAGGACCCCCCACTAGGCTGGTTGAATCAACATGAGTTTGCAACCCTACACTAGCAATGAGGGGGGTGGGGGATAGGTCAGATGGCCTGCATGAAGTCCTGGCTCTGGCACTTAGTAACTGTATCTTGAGCAAATCATCTACCTAAGTTTCTTCTCCTGTAAAATCAGGACAATGCCTGCTTCATAGGATTCTTGGATGGGTTGAAGTATGCTTAGTAGGGCTTGTGTTCAGCAAATGGTAGCTGTGATCTGCTGGGACCTGAGAGAGAGAAGATGCAGGATAGACCACACAGGAGCCATCTTGTCACCAAGGAACGTTTATTGTGTCCACATGTGCACAGCTTTGAACTTGGCGATCACAGAACGCACTGGGGATAGGGGGGTGCAGGGAGCAGGGAAGCAAGGAATCAGGTGTGGGTGTTGGGGTCCCCTTGGGTTCCTAAGAATGGTAGTCCCTGCTGGAGCCGCCAGTCGCGTCTCTCTGCAGAAAGGAGTCATAAGCCGGGGTGGGATTGAAAGCCAGGCACCACGATGGCGATGGGGTGCAATCACTAGGGAAACATGCAGTTTCTGGGGAAGTGTCCCTCCCAGCCAGGCCGGACGGCACCAGCGGGACAGAAATCAGATGCTCAGGTGTCCAAGCAGATAAGGACAAGCAAAATAAATACCCCCCCAACCCTCATCATCACTCTGCTGCAACATGACACAAAAGCTTAGAGACCAGGACCCAAGGGCTTCTCGGTCCCCTCAAGGAAGCTCAGGTGGAAGGTTTGCCCCCTCCACGCCTGTCTGCCCAGATTTCCTTGGACGGACGGGGCATTTCTGACCCTGGGTCACTGAGGTTGATAGGAAAAACTGCAATGTCAATGGCCTGAACCTGCTCTCTGCCCAAAGGGCCAAGGGCAGGAATAAAATGGCCAAGTTAAAGGAGATGGACCTGGGAGGCCAGAGGGGCACCACAGCTTAGAGGAGCCCACACCCTGGCCGGCAGGGCATATGGGTTGAAGCAGCCAGCTCCTGCCAGCCCTGCCACACCCTGGGGCCTCCGTCCTACGGGGGAGCCAGACATTGGGCACAATGACACCTAGTGCCCCCTTCCTGGGGGCTACTCCAACCTTCCCCGTCCTGACGGGGACAGCCACGCTGATTTCCAAGACAACCCCTGCCCCTGAGAGGCCCCAGGGGGCGGGACGCAGTTCCTTACACTGGAAGGGTGGGCACCATGCCCTTGCCCTTGAAAAAGCCAGAAAGCTGGGGTGTTTGAGGGGGGGGAGTTTGGGGAGGGGAATTCAGTTTGGGGGCTTCAGGGAAGAGGCCTCCTCCCTCCTTCCCTCACTGCCCACCCCCAGTGGAAACCCCTCATGGCTCTGACAGGCATTGCTCCAGGGCAGCCATGCGGTAGTGGCTGGCTGTCTCCTCACCCGCCTGAAGCCTCATGGCCTCCCGGCACAGCCGGTTGGCCCGCGCCAACTCCACCAGGACCCCCTGATAGGCGGCAACCATCTCGGGCTTGACGGAGGTGGGGCTGACGCCGCCGAGCAGCTGGAGCAGCTCCTGTGGCCAGCGGGAGCGCAGGGCAGCGGGGGCCAGCCAGGGCAGCAGTGGCACGCAGCCAGTGAAGGCCTGCATGCCCAGGAACCAGAGCTCCTGCAGGTCGGCCCAGATGCCCTCATAGTCAGGGGACAGGGCCAGCACTGCCTGGTCTGAGCCAGGGGTGGCCCGCGCCACGTGGGACTGGGACAGAAAGAGGATGGCGGCCGCGAAGAAACCTCTGGATGCCGGTGTTCCCTGAAGAGCTGGAAGGCAAGGGGGTGGGGGCATTAACCAGAGGGGCCAGCTGCTTTGCCAGCCTTTACGTTCCCCTTTCTATGTGGGCACTCAAGGAGCGAAGCATAGCCTGGCGTGAACCTTCCTGGGTTCAAGCCCCGCCTTTGGTTTCACTGTGTGACTTTGGGTAATTCACTCTTCTGGGTTTTGTTTCTTCACTTGTGAAATGGGACCTCCAGTGGTACTATAATCTTAAGTATCTGCTGTGAGAATGACATGTAATAATCTTGGTGCACTCCACCTCACGGTCAGACCTTCCTATAGCCTGAGTAGTGACAGGAGCGCTGCTGGGCCTAGGGCTTCTCAATAGGCTGAGGGAGTTGCACCGATTTGATTCTTAGGCCAGAAGAGGGCGCCAGAGGGGACCGGGAGCTTATGACCTAGCTTTGTTTATCTGCTGGGCTGGGGGGGGGGGGGGGGGGTGTCACCCCTGCACTGCAGACTCTCTCCCAGAGGCTGTTATTATATCTAGCCTGGTGGCATTTGTGAGTGAACCAGCATTGGGCCTCTGCTCAGGGCCTGTGGTGGTGATGCTTGGGACTGAGGGAGTCCAGGGCTAGAGAGCAGGGGGGCTCCTTGTCCTATTGCTGGGTACCCCTTGGGATCCTTATAGGGGAACAGAGGCAGCTGAGGGTACAGGCTCAGTACACCCTGTTTCCAGGCATCTGCTCAGCTCTTCCAACCTGACAGATGGGGCACAGGGAACAGGCAGAGACAGAGGGACCTAAGCAGACACCCACGGCCAAAGTGGGAGACACAAAGGGCTGGTCGGGGCTGCCCCTCCCCCCGCACACAGCCAGAGTAAAGCAGGGTTGGGGAGAGGGTATGTGCAGAGGAGCACCAAGCACTGAAGCTTGTCACAAGGGAGGTGAAGTGCCAGGCAGAGAAAAACCTCAATGGAGAGGAGTCAGGTTTCTGACTCAAGGCTGGGGGTGGCGCCACCTTGAAAACACTGGATTCCGATTCCTTGGGCTGCTGGATTTCTGAGTAGGCCTGCACTTACACCCACCTAGACCTTGCCTTAAAAGTCTTCAGAAAGAGGAGAATATTATCATTTTGCGAAGAAGGATAGGGTGGGGTTGGGGATGGAGGCATCATGCAGAACGTTCCTCTGACTGGAAAATTCTGTAAAACCATTTTCTGAAAATGGTGACATGTCCGGTGGCCGGCAGATCCACCCAGCCGTCTGCCTCCGTCCATCAGGACTGGGTCCCAGGACTTACCTGGAGAGCTGCTAAGGAGCCGGGCCATGAGGAGGCCCAGGGTGGCCACGTTGGCAGCGAGAAGCAGCCTCCCCTGCTGCTGCACTAATGCAGGCAGCGACGTCATCAGGGTGTTCATCAGAGATGTGAAGCAGGCATCTCGCCTGGGAAGAAAGTAAAGTAAAGTGGGGGATGGGGGAGAGTTGATAGAGTCAGACCAAACCCTGGGAAGACTTGGGATCCTGGGGTCCCGGTTTCACCAGGCCAGGATTTGGCAAAAGATTAGGCAGCAGGGTGGAGAGTTCATTTGGGCTCCATTCATGGCACCTGGGTTATGACTAGAACGGGCAGATGTGCCCAGAGGGATTCCAGAGATGTCACATAACTGTGTGTGTGTGTGGTTCAGTATATTCTGAGACCATTGCACACTGACACTCACAGGAACACATGGGCACAGGGAAGCTAAGTAGATGGAGTTTGGGCAAGTGTGAGCAGTACCCCCGTTGCCTCCTCCAACCTCCTCCCCAGCCTCACTTGATCAATCCCGGTGCAGTGACCACGAGGTTGAGGAAGATGTGGCAGCAGGTCTGCAGGCCGATCTCCACGCTGTCTGGCAGCACTGAGGTGTCATGGCCAGGGGATGTGAGTTCCCACTGCTGCAGGAAATACTTGCACAGAAGCGAGGGTGCCCCCTCCTTAATCAGGATCTCCCGTGGCCCATCTTCAACGGTCAGGTGGCACCAGCCGGGCAGAAGGAGCCTGGGGATATGAAAGGGACAGATGTGTGAGGAGTGGGGAGAGATTCCCTTTTTGGGGGCACCCCCCCTTAAGAGAAATGGAGGTAGGGGAGGAGGATACATCTTCACAGATACTGCAGAAAAAGTACAAGCTTTTTCTTGGAGATGCACCAGCCTAGCTCACACTGGGACTCTGCCACATGGTGTGAGTGAGTCTCACTTTTCTCATCCTGAAGATGCAGATGGGTCTGATGTCACAGATTTGCTCTGTGGATGTAATGAGATCATTTTTTTTGGTAAAGAGTATAGAAAAATGCCTGGCATAATATTCAATAAGCAAGAGTTCTCTCCTAATAGAGCAATCTGGGGTTGACAAGTGAGACTTGGCAGGCCAGGAGTCCTGTGGGAACAAGCCTGCTCAGACAAACAGAAACAATCCTCAAGGCAATCAATCTCCAGTCAGGAAGTGATGACTGGAGAGGAGGAGTCTATGTGTTGCACTTTTCTTTAAAACAGTCTGGCTGGACAAATTGCAACTGCAAACTCACCGGAGAGCATCCCCTGGCCAGGAGGGCCCTGGAGTGGTGGGGGAGATGGCCAGGTTGGCCACCTGCTGAGAGAGGTCATTGGCTTCCTCAGCCTCCTCATAGAGGGTCTTGGCATAGCGAACGAGGAAGGGCAGCAGTTGGCAGACCTCCTTGCGCAGGGATGAGGTCTCCTCGGCCAGCCAGGCACCCAGGATCCGCACCGAAGCAAACACAAAGGGCTCCTTCTGCTTCTCCGGCCCCACCTGTAGCCACAGGACCCCCTTGAGATGGAGCAGGATCCCTGCCTGGACGGCATGCCAGCCAGCTTTGGAGTAACAGCTAGAAGGGAATTCTAGCCTAGGCCCTCAAGGCATGTCTGCTGAGCCAACTGGATAATAGATGTCATGTCCTTGTACTTGCTGGGACTCACCTAGTATTCCCCTTGTCCTGACACCTCTGAAGTACCTCAGGGGTAGAAGGAATCTTGGAGGTCCAGAGCTAAGTAAACACTGCCTCTATAGCAGCTCTGAACGGGGAGGAGTTAGCTGAACTTCCACAGAGAGCAGGGACCAGGCAGCCTCGCTCCTTTTCCCTACGGGGTTTCAGGTTTGTATGTGCATGTGTGTAAAACAATGCTACAGACTGAGCAGAACAGACTGCTTCAATTGTGTGTGTGTGTGTGTGTGTGTGTGTGTGTGTGTATTGGGGGGAGAGGTGGGAGTGGGAGGTTACTGTGTTGTGTGTGCATGTGTGTACTGTGATGTGAGTGCACATATGGTGTGTGGTAGGGTGCTTGTGTGGAGGCACAAGGAAGGAGAGAGAGGAAGGCTCGGTCACACACTACATCCAGGGGTGCTGCAGGATCAGCCCTCGGTAAGAGCAACTTCACTGTTTCCCCATCCCATGGAGGGGCCTGAGTTTTACTTTCCCCTTCCCCATGCCTCTTGCCGCCCCCCCCCCCCCCCCGTGGGTTCCCTCTGTGGGTGACCGCACCCTCACCTGCTGCAGGTAGTGGATGACAGCCCCGATGGCCTCCTTCATGATGCTCACAAGCTGCACCTTCTGTGGCTCCTTAAGCAGTGACCCCTCACAGCGGGTGCATTCCTGGATCCCCAACTCCATGAGGGCATAGCAGGCAGTCACCACATCCTCTTTTACCTCTGAGCCCGTCTCCTCCAGTGCCAGCCGCACCTCCACGCAGGCGAGATTCACCAGCAGGGCCAGGAACTTGCTCCCGGAGCTGCCCGCCGGGATCCAAGTGGAGCCACAGGCGTGCGCCAGACGGGCTGCCAGCTTTAGTGCAGGGTTGCGCTGCCAGGAGCTCAGCTTGCTGCCGAGGATGCGTGCCAGCCCGGCCTGCAGATCCCGGAGGCATTCAGAGGGCACGGTTGTCGTCGGGGGCAGAAAGAGAGGCAGCAGTTGGCAGAGCTCAAACTTGCTGGCATCTTCGGCTTTCTGGAAATCTTCACTGAGGCCCCGCAACACCGCCAGCAGGTCAGGCTCCGCCTCCTTCCAGCACTGTGTCTCCGCGGCAGCCAGCAGCCCCACCAGCAGTGCCAGGGCTTGGTCAAAGCCGTAGCCGTGCCCCAGGTATGCCTGACACAGGGCAGACACCGTGCCACCGGCAATGAGGTGCCGGGGCCCGCGGGGTGTACCTGCCACAGCCGTCAGGCATTGGTAGGTGTCATCGATCATGGAACGGCGGGCAGCATCGTCAGGGTCCCCCCTAGCTGTGAGGAAGGTGCCAAGGATGGGGATTTTGTTTAGGACCTGGGGATGGGCGGCCAGTTCGGGATCACTGCAAAAGCAGGCCAGCAGGGCCACACCCAGGGCTCGGAGGACGTGGTCGGGGCAGCCATCTGGCGCCTCCTTGGTGGTCAGGAGACGATTGGGGAAGGTGAAGCCCACGGCATCAAAAATCCGCCGCCGAGTTTTGGCATCGATGTCACCTGCTTTGACTGCCTTGGTCACCTGAAGGGGGAGTATGCGCCATCAGCAGGATGAAAGAGGTGGCGAAGACTGTCCCCCTGGTACCCTGGGGTGTTGACTCTAGCAGGATTAGGTTAGGTAATGGGACTCACTCCGGGATCAGGAAGCCTCCCAGAGATCATTTCATCCAGCTCCTTCCTTCTCCCTGGAGACAGATAGGTGTGACTTCTAGGACCCCTCATCTATGATTATCTCCGTGGAAGGGAGGTCCAGGCCTCCGCAACTAACTGTTCTGCCATTTCGTCACCTGGTCAGCCAGGCGTTCTTCCTGATGTCTAATCTAGATGCCTACGACCTGAGTTGGAAGGGGCTTAGGGCTCAGTATTTAAAATCCTCCAAGGATGTAGAGTCCCTTCCTAATTGCTCCCTCCAGCAACGTCTCGGATCCATTCCCGCCACATTCTCAGGGGAAATGGCTCTTGTGTCTCACCACTCTGCCTGTCAAAACATTTCCCCTTACATTTCACCTAAACACCTCCTCTGCTGCAGTGTGAGCCCTTGACTCCAGAGCCTTCTCCTTGTTGCCATGGCAAACAAGCAGCGGGCTGCGCTCCCTCCTCCCTTCACCCCCCACACACCAACCCCCCTCTTCCCAGCACTGCAGCTTCTGCTCTGCTGTCCCCAGCTTGGTTTGTCCAACAGGGTTAAAGCCCAGAGCCAGTTCCCTTATCCTCAGCCTCCCTACCGCCATGCTGGCCACCCCCCCCTGGGACCCCTTCCCAGTCGCTTCCCACCTCCAGAACCACCATCCCCAGTACTCAAGTACTCTGCACTAGTTACTACCTGCTGCTGTTACCCTATGAGTCAGCTCCCATCTGCTCTGGGACACCCCAGGGAGCAGACCTAGGCAGCCTCCTCCAAAGCTCCTAGGGCCACAAGCATTATCCACCCCCCACCCCCTTGCCCATCTATTCAGTCTAAAGAGGCATCTTGAGTCTACTTTGGTGACTCCAGGGTTGCCAGCACCACCTATATATCCTTGGGGACTTGCTGACCCCATTCCTAGGGGGCCCAATCACCCAGCCCTTCCCACCTCCCAATTTTCGTTTAGCTCCTTACTAGCAGCAGGGCTGCAAACTGCTCGCTGTCATTCTTGGCCTCTCGGAGGGCTCCTAGGTAGCGCTCCAGGGTGGGGTTTCGGCCCTCTGCCTGGTTCAGAGCTGGCTCACAATCCGAGGCCATGATGCCCGTCTTGCCCAACTGTGAACACAAGAGGGACTGAGCATCCCTCTGCAGAGGAGGGGCGGGGGCGGGGGCGGGGGTAGGAGTGGAAGATGGAAGGAGGGATTAGCACAGTGGGAGGGATGGGCTCCTCAGGAGTGACCTCCCTGTAAGGGGCTGGACCTTCAAATCTATAGGGATGAAGGGACCCCGTCCAAGGTCACCTCCAGAGAGCGGGAATGAAAGGACCATGCATCCTGCTGCTCAGTTGGACAGCTCTCCTCACCCACCTCCTGGGAGTGGGAGGGAGCTGGCCCCATAGTGCCGCTGTCTACTGGCACCAGAAGCCTAGTTTTATCTGCCTCCGCTAAGGCACACAGGGAGGGAGAGGTGAGGACAGACAGGTAGGAATGGAGACATAGAAGAGTGAAGTTCGATTATCCGTACTCAGACTGACATGAGGGGAAAAGGGCACCCGACGTTTCCTTTCCCCTCCCTTCTTCCAAAAAGGCAGCACAAGCCTCAGCTGAAGTGAGGATGCTGGGTGCAGAACACCAAAAGCTTGGAGGCCCTTCTGGGGACCCCACCCCTCCAGCCAGGACTCTCGGTCGCCCCCGCAGGCTCCTTGCCTCCCCTCCTTTCCCTCCCTCGGGCGGCAGCGGCGGCGGCGGCGGCGGCGGCAGCAGCAGCAGCAGCAGCAGCAGCAGCAGCAGCAGAATTAACCCCTTGCTCTCCCTCTCCTCGCCCTCCCCGCCTCGCTACCGGCCGTGGATGCCGGCAGGGGCTGGAGAAGCAAGAAAGGGTCCCGGGGAGCTCCCAGGACAGCGGAGAATCCAAAAGCCGGATAATCGAAGAGGGGCTGCTGAGATGGGGGGGATGAGAAGGGGAGGAGGGCTCCTGGCAGTCACCACCTGTCCGGCCGCAGCCAGGTCACAACACGACATTGATGAAGTCACGACAGGGCGGCGATGAGATCACACTTCACGATGGTGCGGTGATGTCACGGAGATCACGGCAAAACCACAAGGGACAGCCCCCAAAGATGAGAGGGCAAATTAAAAAAAAGAAAAAAAAGAAAGAAAAAAGCTATATATATATTGAAAAGAGCTGTGACAAAATGGAGTCTCGACAGGGCACGATGAAGTCGCGATTATGGTGCGATGGAGTCACGATAGGGTCTCCGGGATGTGTCGGCGTCGATCCGCGCCGGCTCGGAGAGGGCCCCGGCTGGGATGCAGGGGAGGGCCCGGAGGGGGCTGAGCTCACCAGGCTGCTGCCCCGAGCGGCGAAGTCCTCTCCGAGCGAGCGCGCTGCTCCGGGAGCCTGGGGCTGCTGCTCACGCCGCGCTGTCCACTCCCAGCGCCCGGCGGCTGTAGCCCCGCCCCCAGCGCCCCGCAGCGCTCTGGACCAATCAGAGGCGTCTTTACTCCGGGCGCTGGCCAATAGCACGGAGGGGCGCTAAGCAGTCGCAGGTGCCGCCGCCGCCGCCATCTTGCTTGTGGGTATTGCCCGAGTCCGGGGCCCCGGGCGCGCGCAGGGCAGGTGAAGAAGGTGCAGACCGCCTCTGGAGTGCGGGAGGCGACGGCCTGGAGCCTCGGGTTCCTCAGCCCGTAGGTAGTTCTGCCGCCCGGACCTGCCCCTCCTCCCGCCGGCCTCGCGGCTGGAATTGAGTTTTCCGAGGGGGGTAGGGTGGGAGGGCTAGCAGAGCATGAAGAGTGTGTTTCCGGGTTGCGCCCGGAGGTGGGAGGAGGCGGCGTTTCCGGCCGCCGTCGCTGTCCGGGAAGGCTGAGGCGAGAGGGAGCAGCTGGGTGGGAAGCCCCTTGCTACCTTCTTCTTCTTCCTCCCCCTCCGGGTGAGGGGAGCGGAGGTGGGGGTCCCCACCCCATGGACCGGGAGGAGGCGGAGGCGCCCGGTAGCCGGGGCCCCGCTGTGTGGCTCTGAGCCCGGGTAGGTGGCCCGAGGAGGCCGGCTGCCGGGCCGAGGACCACGAGCTCCTCAGGGGAGGGGCGAGCGGAACGGGCTATTTCTGGGGTGCGCTGCGGGTTGACGGGACCCGGAGGTGGCGCTTCTGGCCCGGCGAGGACTGCCAGCTGCTCCTGGCTCTATAGATACGGAGGTCGGGTCCCACCCAGGCTGCACTCCTCGTCTCAGGCCGGGCCTGGCCTTGCAGCTCCCTCCATCCCCCGAAGGAAAGACCGGCTCGGGGCCCCGCGGTCTCAGCCCCCTCGGCTTCTGCAGCCTCGCCCTCAGCTGCTGTCTCAGGTGTTTGGTGTTCCCACCCAGATAGAAAGTTGTTGCAGGTTAAGTAAGGAGGGCGGGGCTGTAAATTACTCTGCGGAAACCTGCCTTATCCAAGGCTTGGACTTGGAAAATTATGCCCCACGGAGGGGGTCCCGTGGGGGCTGCAGGGAGCACAAAGGTGAAATGAAGGAAATCAGGAGAGACCCAGGCAGGATTCCAGGAAAGCTTTGCCCTCCCTCACCTCCTGGTGGTTGTGCCCCACCGACATTAGAGGCAGCAGGTGAAGAGAAATTAGCTGACTAGTGTGCTTTCTTATAGGATTAACAGACTGGAACCTAGAAACAAATTGGATAGACGACCCCCCCCCCCCTACAATCTGTTCATTTCCCCAGCTATTTGGAAAACAATGTCTGCAAATATAAGCAAAACTATTTATTCATGGCAGTCTGTTCTGTAACTTTCTCTCAAATATCTGAGACTTCTTTTTTTTCTTAAAGGGAGCTTTAGTCTTGATTACTCACACCAACTGAATAGGCTGTTCAAACATATCTTATCGCTGTGTACATAAGTGGAGTTCCACGTATGTAGCTGACAGACTGAACTGTGATGCATTCCCCATCAACCTGAAGTATTAAGTAAACATTACCCCCTGCTCTGTCTGAACAGCTGCTGCAACAGAGAGTGCTTTTATTTCGGGTGTACTTGTAACGCCCCAAATGCCAGAACTGTTGCACACTTTTCTAGATTTTCATTTGTCAAGTATTGTGGGTGTGTGTGTTGTCTCCCCGGGCTGTTACCGTTGATTCTATATAACCAACCATTTGGATCTTGGTGATGTGTTGTTCCTGCCCTGGTCAGCAAGCCTTCCACTAGACCCAGCAGTGATTTGTGCCTTTTGGCAATTGTACGTTTCATAGAAATGACTGGTTGGGAGTTCGTAGCATAGCTCTGCCTCTCTCTGATGCATGATTTGTAAGACACTGTACTTTTAATCAGCTTGCTAATTCAATAGTGTTTATTACTCCCATTTTCAAAACCTATTCATTTACTGCTTCTATCGCCCACCTGTCACGCTGTTATAACAGGTGCTGAGTCACCTTGAGTTTAAAATCCTTTTGTGGTAGACAGAAATTGTTGCTTAAGATATGTGCACACTCACACACACACACACACACACACCCTCTCTCTCTCTCTCTCTCTCTCTCTCTCTCTCTCTCTCTCCCCCCCCCCCCCCCCTCTCTCTCTCTCCCATTACATCTTAGGAGGCTAGAGACGTTGCTGAATATACTAGTACTTTTAACTTTGGCTCCACTTATTAATCTCTTGAGCATGTCTCTGGTACACACACCTTTCTGCCCCCTTTCCCTTAACATACAATTATAAAACAACTAGAAACAGGAATGATGGAAGTGAATGAGAAAGATGAAGTCCTTCGTATGTTTAAGGCTCAGTTAGAGCCTTTTCTTGGTTGGGCTGTATCTTACTTTTGTAGCTGTGTGTGTGTGTTTCCTGATAATAGTATTCGACTCAAACACCAACTTCTGGCATAGGGGATAACTCTCCAACCAACTGAGCTATATAGGCCAGGGCTTGGACAGAAAGTTTTTGAATGGCTTCTTCAGAACTTGATCAGCTCTAATGTTGACAAGATTTATATAATTATATGATATAGGGAAGTTGTGTAATACAGAAGAAACTGTTGGAAAATCACGTTTTCCTCCTGAAAGAGACATAAGTCAAATAGCCCCTAGATTATAGAGTAGCCAGCACAATATCTGGCACACAGTAGGGGCTTGGTAAATATTTGTTGAATGTATGAATTCAAGTCAGGAATTACAAATGATTCTAGGGGTCAGGGAGGTGACATTGAAGTATACATTGGATAAAATTTTAAGATAATAGAGGTGGGGCAGTAGCAAACTGGAGAGTATATGCCCTGCCTAAAAACCATCACATTAAATTTAAAAAAAAAACAACCCCAAAACATGATTACATAAAACCTTCAGGTCCAATCTCATCATTTCATAGATAAGAAAGTTTATTGGTCAAAGCCACAAAGCTGTTAGCAAGAACTGGTACTGAAACAGATCTTTTTTTCAGGCTGGTATTCTTTCCATTTTTCCACATAGTTGATTTACAGTTAGACTAGAAAATAATGGAATTCAAGGTGTTTCTGTTTTACGGTGGATTCATTTCTCATCACTTGCTATCTTTTTATCCTGATAATTATAGGCTATGTCAAAGCTTAGGTTTAAAATTTATGGGCAGAGTTGAGCAGTGAAAGACAAACTTGAAATTTTTCTTCCCTCTAATTTATCATGTTCTCTAGCATGCCACATTTCTAGGAATCAATTATTAATTACTTGGCATATTATTTCTTCTTCCTTTCTTTCTTTCTAGTGGACTGGTTCTGCCTATCTGGAAGGCAATGGAGAAGAAGCTGGGAGTCAAGCCAAGTTCTGCTTCCTGGATTTTATCAGGATTTTGTTGGCAGACATCTGTGAAGTGGTTGAGAAGCCTGCATCTGTTTTATATTTGCTTCTACTTCAGTGTGCTGTGCTTGTCAACAGGTACCATTTTCTTTATAGATTTATTAATGTTTTTAAAAAAGGATATTTTGTGTGAGTCCTTCAGTTCATTTTAAAGACTATATAGGGAAATTGGTAAACAGAAGGAGGCAGAAAAGCAGTGTGCTAATTGACAGAAACAGGTTATTGGTGGACACTTAGTTGGAATTATTTGTTTTGTTTTGGCACTAACAATTAAATTGGGTTCTTTCTCATATAAGAGAATTGGCACAGTCATTTGGAGATTTGTTGAGGTGTAATGAAAAGAGAAAAGTTTCAAAGTTGGACAGACCTGACACCTGGACTTAAAGCTGGGTATTTCCACTTAATAATAATAAAACTTTGAGCAAATTACCTGTTGTCTATAAGGAAGGTAAGACCGACATCATAGTTTGATTTGAAAGATAACATAATTAAATAGTATGCTACAGCATCTGAACATAGGTGCTTAGTAAATGATACTTTGCTTCCTTTCCTAAAAGGATCAATGTCACAGGAAGAATGTGTTCCTTGCTTTCCCCATAGAAAGGGTTTTTTCTGATAGATTTCATAAAGTATGTCTTCCTCCTAGAGATTATTTCACCAGCTTAGAGCCTCTTGCCAGAAAAGAGTGCCAAGAAAGCTAGATTCCATTCTTTTTTTCTTCCTTTCCCCTTCAGTTTATTTGTTGACATTGTTTCTTTCAGAGTATGAAATGTGAGAAAAGAGCAATTTGAGAAAGACTCCTGAGTATGCTGCCATTCTAGGTAGTGACCAAAAAAGGCTTCTGTTGTAGAGACCACTGTGTGGGATAACTAATCAGCCTTTTGCTCCTTTAATTACAAAGGTTTCTATTGCTTTCCTAAAGGAATCGGTGGTCAGGATCTTGAGACTCAAGTTATTGCTGTATTTAGCAATTTCAGTAACATCAACTTCATGGTTTTTGTTGTCTTGCAGAGGTGGTTGATGATTGCATAATTATCGCAATGGAAATTGCAGTTGACAGAAAGCTGACCTAAATGTTTTTTACCTAGATGATGCTTTGCTGGGACAGCTATTTCAGGCTAACATTTTATGTAAGATCATTTGAATTAAGTAAGTTACTGATTTGGCACCATCAGAGTGGGAAAACCACATTTTTTGGAATGTACCTACAGTATTCAAAACCCCTGGTTACAAACCTTACATATCATATCTCATTTAATTCTCAGGATAAGCCTAAAACCAGTAGTTTTATTCTCATTTTATAGATAAGGAAATTGAGGCCAAATGACTTGACTAGGATCACATAGTAAGAACATGATAAAGCCAGGATCCTAAACCCAGGTTTGTCTGCTCTAAAGCTCATGTTCTTTTTCAATCCTACTGTACCTTGTAACTACAGGTGATCTTTTGGAGGACCAAAGACAATGATATTTGAGGGATTCCAAGTATAGAGGAGGAAGAAGCATTTCCTAGTTTTTCTGTATTTTTTGGGCTAATTCTTGATTAGACATTGTACTGTGGGCTCCTTGGGTTAGTCTTAATATTCCTGAGTGGGTGCTTAAAAACAGCATCCTAGTAAGCAGTATTAAGGTACAAAGGTACAAAGCATCCTAGTAAGCAGTGCTTAAAAACAGCATCCTAGTAAGCAGTATTAAGGTACAAAGCTGGTATTGTTAGGAGTGGTTCTAGTGGGGATTAAATAGTACTACTTGTGTTTTAGGAAAGTTTGGAATTTTTACCATGAAAGAACCAAGAATCAGGTGTGTTCAAACTGAGTGATCATGCAAGCAACACATGACAAATTTGTTATATATTTTTATTTATCAGATCTCTTTCTCATCATTTTTGAAAAAAATACAATATCCTAGTAGAAAAAACTGAATAAAGGACATAAACAGAGAATAATATAAGTAAGAAATTAAAATGACTTATAAACATCTAAAACATGTTCATTCTCATTACTAACACAGATTAAAGGGACATAATTTTTAATCCATCATATTGATGAAAATGAATGAAAAATATATAGTAGTGCCAAGGGGTGATGTGGTTGCCCTTATATTGTGCTTGGGAATTTGACAGAGAGTTTTTTGACATAAATATCAAGATCTTCAAAAGCTTTATGCTCTTTGACTTAGTAATTCACCTTCTAGGAATTTATCCCAAGGACACATTTAGAAGGAGAATATTAATCAACACTCACTTATTCTATGTTGCATAACATTGTATAACTTCCCTACAATTGAAAGTTGTGATTGTTGGGCAGTTGTATTCCCTGGCAATGGGAATGCAAGAACAAAGACACAAAAGTGTGAAACTGCCTGGTATATAGTGGAAAGTCTGTTAGTATAAGCAGTTTAGTGTTACTAGTATATAAAGAGCAAAGCTGGAATGGCAGCTCCTGAACTGTAGATGGTGGCCAGGTCACGAAGGATCTTGTATGCCATGCACAGCAACTTTGATTTTAATCTTTTTAGATAGGTGTTCTACAAATTTTCTTGATTATGTACTCTAAACCATAAAAAGGTTAAGGATGCACCCCAATATGTATTTGTTCATATGTTATAACAAGTACCATTGTACTGGCAAAAACAAAAATTTAAAGGGATCAACTAAAAAAACATATAAATAGTACTAATATTTTCATATTCCAGTTATTTGTCTTGTGCACCTCTTGTAAGCAAGCATTCTACCTTAGAGATCATTGCTTTAAGGAAGTAGGAGCTATTGAAAAATTTAAGCAGAAGAATAATACTGGTAAATTTCTAGATAATTTTGCTGGGATATAGAAGAATGATAACAGTGGGGATTGAAATAAGATGAAAAGGGGAGGGATGTCAGGACTAGAGTAGGATATCTATTAGGAAGTGAATGAAATAGTCCAGGAGAAAATTGATGAGATAGTTTTTCAAGGAATTTCTCACTGAAGAGAGTAATTTCACTCAATATGAAGTAGTGCTAAATAGATGGGTAGAATTTAAGAATTTAAGAGGGGATATATATATCCCCTCTTCTAATTTCTTTAAAAAATTATATATATATATATATATATATATATATATATATAGAGAGAGAGAGAGAGAGAGAGAGAGAGAGAGAGATAATTCCAGAACATTTCTTTAAACCTCCCTTTGCTAAAAGAAACCCAGGACTAATTAGCAGTCACTTTCTATTCCTCCCTCTTCCTAGCTTCTGGAAACCACTAATCTATTTTCTGATTCTGAATTTGCCTATTCTGGATATTTCATATAAATGAATTCATGCACTATATAATCTTTTATGTCTGGCTTCTTTCACTTAGCACGATGTTTTCAAGGTTCATTCATTCATGTTGTAGCATGTATCAGTACTTCATCCCTTTTCATGACTGAATGATATATCACATTCTGTTTATATACCTAGGAGTGGAATTGCTGGATCATATGGGAATTCTTTTTGTTTTCTACAGCACCTGCACCATTTTACATTTACACCAGCAATATATGAGGGTTCCAGTTTCTCTCTGTCCCCACTAACACTTGTTATTGTCTGTCTTTTTTATTACAGTACATGATGTTACTGAAGTTTAGAAAAATCAGGGAGGGCTTCATGGAGGAAATAGAACTTGGCTTATGCATAATGCACATCCAATTTGCAGATAGACAAACAGTCACAGTAAGAAACAAAGACTGGTAAAATAACCAGATGGGTACAAATTATTCTTTTGTTCACTTTTTCAAAGTTACATATTTGTTCAACAAATATATATTGAGCTAGACATGTTCTTTGTGAGCAATCTCTAGCCAGTTCCCTGACTTAGTCTTTCTTCCCAGCCAGTGAAGCTTTCTGAATTCGGATAAAACACACCAGACATCTAATGAGGTCTGGCTTCTGCTCAAACCTAGGTTTTTGCCAAGGTAACCAGTGACTTTTTAGTTGGAGACCTTTAGGGGTGTTTTTTTTAACATATACATTTTTATTGATTTTAGAGAGGGAGAAATAGAAACATTGATGATGAGTCATCAATGAGCTGCCTCCTGCACGCCTCCCACTTGGGATTGAACCCGCAACTCAGGCATGTGCCCTGATGGGGAATCAAACCATAATCTCCTGGTTCATAGGTCAACACTCAACCACTGAGCCACGCTGGCTGGGCAGATCTTTAGTTTTTATTGTAGTTAACATCTCTGCTGCATTGCATACTTCTTTCTTGTGACTTTCCTAGGTGACCTTAAATTATATACCAGACTTTACTTTGTTCTCCTTCCTGCTAATGCATTAAACTTTCTAATTATTCTTCCCTCACTCCCTTCTTAGCTTGTCCCTTAAATGTTTTGTTCTTTGTGGTTCTGGTTCTACCCTTTTTTGTCTCATTTTTGTGTGCTCTCTCTGGGCAATCTTATTTCCCCCATAATTATAACCTATGTGCCCACTACTCTCATATCTGTAACTGTTCATTCACTTCTGTCTGGGTTACAAACCATTTTGCCACTTCTGTGTTATACATCTGCAATTGAATGTTTCAGCTACCTCTAACTTTTTTTTTTCTTTCAGTTTTTTATTTTTGCCCTGACTAGTTTAGCTCAGTGGATAGAGCATTGGCCTGTGGACTGAAAGGTCCCAGGTTTGATTCGGTCAAGGGCATATACCTTGGTTGCAGGCACACCCCCGTGGGATGTGTGCAGGAGGCGGCTGATTGATGTTTTTTTCTCATTGATGTTTCTGACTCTCTGTCCCTCTCTCTTCCTTTCTGTAAAAAATCAATAAAATATATTAAAAAAATATTTTTATTTTTACTGATTTCAGAAAGGAAGGGAGAGGGAGATAGAAATATCAATGCTGGGAGAGAATAATTAATTGGCTGTCTTCTGCATGCCTCTTGCTGGGGATCAAGCCCACAACCCAGGCATGTGCCCTGACTTGGAATTGAACAATGTGACCTCCTAGTTCATAGGTCAGTGTTCAACCACTGAGCCACATCGACTGGACAGCTCCAACTTAATATATGAAAATTGAACCCATGATCTTTTAGCCCTCTACCTTCTTTTTTTATCTCCTAC